CCTCATTCAAAATAATACATTCATCTTAATTTTCGACAGTTTCCAGAGCATTTGAAATGGGAAAGTGGTAAACAACACACGGAAAGTTGGGTTTATCCATCTTTTTAAGCAAGGATAAAATATGACGTTGCTTTAGATATTTTGACGTTATCATCCTTTTTTCTGAAAGGCGACCACACATAAAATAAAATCCCATATTTTGTTTTTTGACATATATCTATTTGAAATTTGCTATGTATATTCATGAAAAATATACTAAAAAGAAATGAAAATTATAGAACGCAGTGTTGATTACATCGTTAACTTCCCTTACTTATGTAGCAAAATACCTCTATCACCTGCATATGGGGTTTATATCTCCATACGCAAGAGCATGCTCCATGTATGAATAATTTCTAAAAACACGGCAAGCTATTGACAATCAAGTTGATGAAACAGGGATATCAACAGTCTCGTTTAAAGTCATCATTTCGCAAGTTCTATGGTCGATTCAATAACCTTGTAAGGAAATACCATCTATTATTAAGTCGAATGCTGACTGACGTTTCTCATACTAATTGTTAGGTCATTATTTAAACACTATATTGTCTACGGATTTTTCCGTTTGCTCGAACATGGCAATGATCACACCTCGGGTGTGATCGGTTGACAGGGGATGCATACTCCTCCATGGCACCTGATCCCACCTCTGATTTTATTGAGAGGTCCGTGTTTGCTCTGCTCGCGATCTGTATTGTTTCAATGGTTTGATTGCTGTTTGTTTTCCCCGTAATATTCAATTAAAGTTCAATCAGATCAATACAATTTTAGATGATTAAGATTATACATCTTTTCATAAGAAGGTAACTAAATTTATAAAACTGCTGTATATTATTATTTTGAATGAAAAGGTGAAGAAAAGAAGAGGAATCGTGAACCGGGCAAAAACACGGACACTTGGAAACACCAGAGGTGTGTGTTCAGGTGCCTAGAACGAAATATATGGAGATAACGAACAGTATTCAAGCTCAAAAGTCCATTAAACATTACAAAATAGGTGCAGAGCAAACACAGACCTCCAAAACATCAGAGGTAGGATCAGGTGCCATGGAGGAGTGAGCATCCCCTGCCGACCGGTCTCACCCGCCGTGTGCTCCTTGTCATGATCAGGAATAACGGAAAAATCCGTCGACAATTCAGTTTGTAAATAATGGCCTAAAATAAGTATGAGAAATGTTAGTCAGCATTTGACTCAATGATAAATTGTATTTGCTAACAAGGTCATTGTAGAAGAAGTGCGCATCATGCTGACCTGTCACACCCGTCATAAGATCAGGTAGACGGAGTAAAGAAACAATGCCATAACAATCGGAATAAAACAAGTCAAATGAAAGTGTTTGTGAATAGGTGACTTTCAACGAGATTGTTAAATCCTTTTTGTACTGATCACTGTCCAGAGATGAGAAATTCTCGCAAATGCGTATGTATTTATTGTCATTTCTTACATTGACATCACACGATTTACTGTAAAGAAAAAAAAATTAAAAAATATTGTAAACAAAAATACTTCCTGATACACAATGCAACACAAAAAACAGAAGCAATTCGCACTAGGAATTTGGTAATGACAAGGCAATTCAGACTAGTAATATACATCAAGATATATGCTACCAATATATCAGATGGTAACCAATTAAGTAGTAAAGTGGTGAGGAAGTTGGAACATTGCTCAAATTCGTATCGCGTTTGGTAATTCAGAGAAATGAATTGTATGGAGATAACGAACAGTATTCAAACTCAAAAGTCCATTAAACAATACAAAATAGGAGCAGAGCAAACACGGACCTCTTAAACATCAGAGGTGGTATCAGGTGCCATGGAGGAGTGAGCATCCCCTACCGACCGGTCACACCAGCCGTGTGCTCCTTGTCATCATCGAGAGATAACGGGAAAATCCGTCGACAATTCAGTGTGTAAATAATGGCCTAACAATTAGTATGAAAAGCATCAGTCAGGATTTAACTTAATGATAAATTGTATTTGCTGACAAGGTCATTGTATCGACCATAGAACTTACGAAATGGCGACTTTAAACGAGACTGCTGAAATTCTAGTTCTAGAAATTGCATGCTCTTGCGAATCGAATCAACTGAGAGATATAAACCCCGTATGCAGGTGACGAAGGTATATTGCTGCATAAGTAAGAGAAGTTGACGATGAAAAAGTTAAAGTCATCACATTTATCATAGAAAATTGCTTTTCAATCCTTATCCTTTTTAACGAGGTTGGATCCTGATATTTAAAGTCTTAAACATATTTTGTCAGGTATATTTCTAGCTTCTACACACATAGCTTAATTAAAATCAAAACAAAAATGGGGGTCAATATGATTCTTTAGGCGCTGCAATACATTTAATATGACCTCTTTGCACTGAAATTTGTGTCTTAATCAAAAATCACATCTTCGACGTTTTCCCTCCAATGTTTTTGTCCAAATAAATCATGAGACAAAATAAACCATTAGTCTACTTAAAAAGACACATTAAAATTGTGACTAAGAAGAAGTTTCAAATTGCTTCGCATAATCATAATAATGACATTTCTGCACTCACAAAATGTGATTTTTCTGGCATTAAAAATTTAACAAGCAAGAAAAATATTTTAAAGTCTTAAACTTTTGCTTAATATAAGCAGATTGATCAGAGTTATCTTATATATTCAGAAAAGAAAAACAAACGTAGGGGTCTATGATGTAAATTTTTAGATATTAATAAAAAGTGTTAATTTTATGCTAAAATTGGCTCAATTTTTTTTCCTGGACTTTCAGAATATATTTACTATATTTGTCACAATATAATGAAAGAATTCATAAGAAGTAATTTAATAGATATTTCAGAGCCAGCACAAAACATTTCACTGCAAAAACACTCTGTGTGCAACCAACATAGAAAAATAGGAATCTAAACTTAACAGTACTGTATATACATGTATTTCAAAAGAGAAAAATTGATCATTTTCTTCAAAGAAAAAAAAACTTCCGCCACGAAATATAGTTCCTGGCTTAATCCTATTTGAATAGAATTTCATCACGGTTTTTTCATTGGATATAGTTTAATTTGCATCGTAGAATCCATATTTAATGCTAGAACTTAAAAATGATGCAGAGATTTTAGAATTAAAGGTCCAAACCAAAATCTGCTCAAAAGCTCAGGATCGAACCTCCTTAAGGAGTATCAGTATTTTTATAATTTCCCTTTAATTTTTCTGAGTCATAGATTGTAATTTTGATGCAAAACGAGGGGGTGGGTCTTTTTAACATTTGTCAGTATCAGAGCTATGTTTTTGTTGTAATTAACAAGCACATTTTAATTCAATCCGGTTTTACTTTAGAGCTGATTGCATATATGCATAGGGATGTCACTGTTCGTGACGTTCTGATGCTTTTCTTGTCTAGAAGTTTAAATACTACGTCACGCTGTCACCACATCAAAGGAAGTAACCGAGTGCGTGTCTCTTCCACGCTAAAGTCGGTCAACTGCAACATACAGCGGGTTCACAAAAGGGGATAGATAGTCCAGCTGTCATTTTATTGAATATTACCCATAAAAATACCTTTAATACTTGATTAAGAACATTTCGACAAGGAAAGCATCAACACGTCATGAACAGTGAAATCCCTATGCATATATGCAATCAGCTCTAACATCTCTTTTTGAGATTCAATTTGAATTCGCACAAACTTTTGGGAAGTGCAATATTGTCACTTGTCTTTCTTAAACGGTTTCAAAGAAAATGGGTCCAGTTAAACATGTTCCTATATAACATGACTTGACACTAATTTATAGATGTAGAGGGGTGATATGAAATGCATGATTTTTACCTTTCAGCAATTAAATAATTATTGCAAATCCGCCATGGTCGGGAGTCTATTTACAGATTTTCTGGGATAGGTTACTTTATTTTTGATTTTGAATGAATATAAGTGAATATAGGAACTAATGTGCCGCTTTACTTCTCATCTCAGTAATCAATCATATCTTTTATGTAAATCGGAAGTTGAATCATAATGTACAGAGTATATTTATTAACATTCCTTCAAAAATATAACGGCAAATAAATGTCTTTTAAGTACTCAATTTTTCTATTTTTGTTCCTATTCATGTAAATGCATATTAAGGGTGTATTTTGGGATATATGATACCAAATTCTTACCAATATGCACGACGCAGAAGACAAAGGAAATTGAAAATGTCGCTAAATGCTAACATAAATAAGTTGTATATGAGTTATCGAAATGTATTTGAGTTATCGAAATGTGACTAGAGATATGTATTGCAAGTATTGGAGTCAAGTGTTCCTGTACCTAAAATTGTAATCTGTATTTGAAATTTCAGATTAAGCATACAGAAGTTATGCAATAAACACATATGAATATCAAACTTTTTAAAATATTTATTTGTATAACAATACGTCCAAATGAAAACATCATCATTTTTAAATCTACATTAATATGACTCAAATAGAGAACGTAACAATTATCTAACATTTTAAATACATGCATATTACATTCTTTGAATCACATGATAAAGTATTTATAATGGTAAAAGTGTTTTAATTTGTGAACTTCAATACTTACAAGTATGTTTACACGTTATTTAATATAATTAGAATTTCTCCTATTTGTAAACCTTAAAAAGTGATCCTGCATGATAAAAATGTGTTAATTTATTAATTAAACCCCTTTCAAGTTTAATCCTGCCCTTTACATTTAAAGTGTCTTGACAAAAAAGGATAATATACATTTCTGTTATTTATGAAAAAAAATTACACTCTAGCATAAACCTTTTTTCTCATCGTTAATAAACCATTTATCATCTCACGTAATGTGTCGGACACAAAAAACCTCTAACATGTATCACTGATAATTGGTCATGCACACTGCTCTGTCGTGTGGCCCGGGGGCAATCTCGTGCAGTGTATCCTGACAATGGACTCTCCTGTCAATACCTAGCTGTTAGGGGACCCACGTCTTACACAGGAGGAGTTCACAAGCTTCTGATGACGCCTAACATTCGGTTTGTCCATCTCAGTACACTGTGCCATGTTGGAACTTGTTAAATGCATCATTTTCTGGAGCCTGCTGATAGGTAAAATAATGTTTATTTTAAAAAGTAACATTTATGTAACCATCCGCTATATAAAACGACAAAATTTGAATTATCTTTTTTAAGAACACCATGCAATTTCTTATTTCTTTGGTTTAAAGCTTTGCATTATATAAGTCTATAAAATGATATTTTAAGTGACCTAATATGATTTTGTTATTCAAGTAAAATCATTTTGTCTGGTGCAATTATTTGATTTATTCTGATAGTAATGACATATATTGTTAGGTTTTTGAATTTTAGAAATTCAAATTTCGGTATTTACTTTTTATGTAATATATAATAATAATATTATGGATAAAAAATTGGAAAACTTAATGGTAAAGCGATAAATCAATTGCGCTAATTTACAAAAAAAAAAAAAAAAAAAAAAAAAAAAAAAAAAAAAAAAAAAAAGCATGTTTTTTTTTCTGTCACCATCATATGTTTTCCTTTGAGTATTAAATAATACTCCCGCTTCTTCATCTCTCATCTCTAATACTAGTAGGATATTTTTTGTTTAACATGTGTACATTGTATTAATCTGATCGGTCAGTAAAATCAATTATTTAAACCCAATCATATAAATTTTAATTACATAATGATGAAATGAAAAATATAGCCTTTGATAAGTATGCAAAAGGATAACATAGGAAACACCATTATATGATATCTTGCTTGCACAAATGCCTGGAAAGGTACCTCGATCTTTTTTAGTTAACATTTTAAAATAGCAATACTTCAATGACAAGATATTGGAAAAAATTATATATTATTGAGGAACGTGTCGTCTGTCCTTAAGGCTTTGAATAAAAACTTTGTTTTCAATAACTTGAATAAAGATGAGAAAAGTTAATCTAAGAATTTCAATGCAGATCGCTTTCTTTTCATGAAATCAAATTTTATGTCTTTACAATATTCCAATTCATTTTTAGTCATCTTCAATTTTCCAGTACAGAAAAAATCTTTGGCATTTTCTTTAGGTCCACGTGATATCACCACATAGAGTCAGACCACTATTACTTTATACCTATTACGAAAATGCACAAATATTCCATTTTGGGTAAATTTGCCAACTACAAACCCATTTAACAATATGTTTTCAAGCCCAGTGAATGTTTTCACAATCTGCATTCCTGTCGCCCAAAAGGCTCTCCAGGGATTGGTTTTATCTTATCTTTATTATTTATACATTCATTATTATTCATTATTATTCCAACCGTATAAAATAATCAATAAAGATCGCATTAAATCATCACTGAACATTGAGATATACATAAATGTCCTTAGATACCTGTAAAATATTCACATTTACTTATTCTTTATAATGACTCGACAATCGTACGTCAGCACTGCATGTTCAGATGCTAAAAATTTTATGGACAGATAACTTTACTTGGGATTCTAAATTAAGACTATGCATTTTAAGAGAAGCTTGGTTAATTTTATCACTAAACCTTATTTTATATTAACGTTAGGATGTTTGAATTTTCTTCCTCTAATTTTTAATATATAAAAAATTTCATGACTCTGATATCATATTTTTTATTCCTTCCTCAGTGTTTTTTTTATATGTTTTAAAAGGTACTTTCAAAGCATCATATTCTTTCAATTGTTAAAGTACATGTAATTGGAAATCTTTACTATGAACAATTCATTTCTTTTCTCCGACGGTCGATTTCAGAAGGAATACCTTATCATAAATAATGAAATAAATTTGGGCATTAGCTCTAAATCTCCATTTTATCCCTTCTCACATCAATAAAGCATAAATCTGAGCTTTACAAATTATCGAGACAATTGCCATTATTACTTACAAGCATAACACTTAAGAAATGAGATTTATGTTCTAACAGACACGTCATTTTCATATCATCACCATAGTTGTGAATTTGTCCCTAAGGCATTTGGCACCGTAGGGTATTCTGAAACATCATTATGTTGTCTGGACGTGTGATATTTTGAATGTATGCTGACAGTTTATCTTTGTAAAGATTAGACGATTTTAATGTAATATCAACCTTGCATATTGTCATACATGTGAAATGGATTTAATTTCTATCATCTAAAATCCTAATTATATTAATTATATCTTAAGATCTTAACGAAGACTAATGCTGCAGATAATGTCAGTTCTTATTTGCTGAGTAAAAAAAAATGCAAGATGTAAAATCAATAGGAAACAGAGAAGATAATGTAGTTCTATTGATGTTTGCGTTTAAAATTGCTTCTGTGCAAATCTTTTGAAGAAATACAAAGAGAATGTCTAAGTGGAATAGAGCAAAGATTTTAAACAGAATATTTTGCTTGTATCTTTTCAGTTGTTGATGTTGCATATCTCTTTATTTTTAACAGTAAAAGATTGTTGTTTCCAATATTCAGGTCATACAAAAATATACGTTTATGTCAATTTTAGGGAGTGAAGGATCTCTATGATTACTAAAAAACAGGACCTTTTTTCAACTCTGATAATTTTGTTACACATATACGATTATACAAAGTATAAAAGCAAAGGAAAGAGTGTACACTATACTGACAAAAGATGCAAAACAAATTACTATTGAAGATAAACATATTTAAAGGACAGTTAATGATTAATGTAAGAGTAATCTCCCTTGTAACAGAAAGTCATCCCCCCTTAAATATAGCTTCCTCTTACAGAAACTAAAATTACCTTATTCTTTTAAAATGTAAAGAGACAATAGATTGATTTTCTCTACAACATAAAATATAAACAGTACTAGATAAAACTAGTTGACAGTTGATCTAAATTGTTGTAGTGAGATATCCTAAATGATAATAAGTAAGCAATCAAATGACAAAATCAATTATCATTGAACGAATATTCTATATATTTGTTTTTATGTCTAATTACAGGCTGTGTATATGGACAACGTAAGTAAACTACTTCAACAAGCTTTATCTTACTTAATTTAAATTGAAACTATAATTCAATACTGAATTTATAATAAATAAATTCCGAATATCTACGATTCCATATAAATATATAATAAATCTATACTTAATCTTTATGGAATCTCTATTAAATCTCTACTTGGCTAATTGTGTTCCCCAAATGAAGTTTGCGAACATACTGTTTTTACTTTGTTTCTTCTTTCTTCTCCGGTACTGTTTTGTCTGCGAGTGCTCTCGAAAACTACTCATCCGATTGAGATGAAAACTTTTTAGGGTTAATAGGCATCCTATGTATATGTCCTGATCGAGGCACATACATACACGCGAGTGTGCCTGCAATGAGTGAAATAACATATAACTGAAACAGCTTTATTTGACAAATTTTTTGAACGAAATGTTTTGAAATGTAGTATATAAAGATATAAATAATGTCTAGACACAATGACTAGTTGAATAAGCACGTGTGCTTTGCTCTGGTTGGATGATTCAAATATTTCTATAACTCTCTTGATTTACGACTAAATAATAAGAATTTAAAATTTAGGTATATATAAAAAATTTCTACTACATGATTATGATATATACGAAAACTCTTAAAAACTGACTGAAACTTTAAACGGACAAACTTTTTTGTAATTTAAAAAAAAAAAATCATTACTAAATTTAGAGTATAGATATGTATAAAGTGTTCTACATTTTGGAACTATCAAAACTGAAAGCAAGGGCATACATTGCACGTTTGTCTAATTCTGATTCTTTACTACTGTAACGGCCGTAACTCTAGTTCTTTTCAACAAAATACATTGAAATTTAAAACATAGGTATGTATAATGAGAGGCTATAAGAGGATATATCTAAGAAATATGGGGAAAAATGGTCGATAAACACGCCCTGAAATCTGATTGGCTAATGCTCGTAAAGCTATAACAGCGTTGTTTTCCGATAAAATACATTGGAAAATATAAAGTATTTATCTATAATACAAAAAAAATCCAAATCAAATAAAGCTCGTAAGGAATGAACATCATATGTGAGAGTGTTTGGGGAACATATGTATTGGTACCCGTTATAATTTGCACTAGTTTTTGTTGCTTTTTCTAAAAAGATAACTGAAGCAATATGCTTTTTTTAATTATTGCAGTGAAATTTCCTTCCTCGGGGGTCATTGTACCCCTTGGACACGATCTTTTATCTGGAAATTCGCCAGGTGCCTTTTCCATAGCTTTCCATATATATCAATAGCATATATCTATCAGTAGATGATTGACTTGTAAACCCACTATATATATATATATATATATATATATATATATATATATATATACTACTTTCTGAAACCAAACATCTATTTCAATGCCTTCATAGTTGTTCTGTGTTGTAGAATAGAACGTAGCAATACATGTATTGAAAATATGGTTCTCAAGACGTTTTATACCTTCAATATTATTACTTAAGTCGTGGAGTTGAATGATTAATAATGATAGATAGCAAAATTACTGGTATATAATCACATATTGTACGGAGAATTGACATTATAAACAGTATTGACATTATAAACAGTATTGACATTATAAACAGTATTGACATTATAAACAGTATTGACATTATAAACAGTATTGACATTATAAACAGTATTGACATTATAAACAGTATTGACATTATAAACAGTATTGACATTATAAACAGTATTGACATTATAAACAGTATTGACATTATAAACAGTATTAACATTATAAACAGTATTGACATTATAAACAGTATTGACATTATAAACAGTATTGACATTATAAACAGTATTGACATTATAAACAGTATTGACATTATAAACAGTATTGACATTATAAACAGTATTAACATTATAAACAGTATTAACATTATAAACAGTATTAACATTATAAACAGTATTGACATTATAAACAGTATTGACATTATAAACAGTATTAACATTATAAACAGTATTAACATTATAAACAGTATTGACATTATAAACAGTATTGACATTATAAACAGTATTAACATTATAAACAGTATTGACATTATAAACAGTATTAACATTATAAACAGTATTGACATTATAAACAGTATTAACATTATAAACAGTATTAACATTATAAACAGTATTAACATTATAAACAGTATTGACATTATAAACAGTATTGACATTATAAACAGTATTAACATTATAAACAGTATTAACATTATAAACAGTATTGACATTATAAACAGTATTGACATTATAAACAGTATTAACATTATAAACAGTATTAACATTATAAACAGTATTAACATTATAAACAGTATTAACATTATAAACAGTATTAACATTATAAACAGTATTAACATTATAAACAGTATTGACATTATAAACAGTATTGACATTATAAACAGTATTAACATTATAAACAGTATTGACATTATAAACAGTATTAACATTATAAACAGTATTGACATTATAAACAGTATTAACATTATAAACAGTATTAACATTATAAACAGTATTAACATTATAAACAGTATTAACATTATAAACAGTATTGACATTATAAACAGTATTAACATTATAAACAGTATTAACATTATAAACAGTATTAACATTATAAACAGTATTGACATTATAAACAGTATTAACATTATAAACAGTATTAACATTATAAACAGTATTAACATTATAAACAGTATTGACATTATAAACAGTATTAACATTATAAACAGTATTAACATTATAAACAGTATTAACATTATAAACAGTATTGACATTATAAACAGTATTAACATTATAAACAGTATTAACATTATAAACAGTATTGACATTATAAACAGTATTAACATTATAAACAGTATTAACATTATAAACAGTATTAACATTATAAACAGTATTGACATTATAAACAGTATTAACATTATAAACAGTATTAACATTATAAACAGTATTAACATTATAAACAGTATTGACATTATAAACAGTATTAACATTATAAACAGTATTAACATTATAAACAGTATTAACATTATAAACAGTATTGACATTATAAACAGTATTAACATTATAAACAGTATTAACATTATAAACAGTATTAACATTATAAACAGTATTGACATTATAAACAGTATTAACATTATAAACAGTATTAACATTATAAACAGTATTAACATTATAAACAGTATTAACATTATAAACAGTATTAACATTATAAACAGTATTAACATTATAAACAGTATTAACATTATAAACAGTATTAACATTATAAACAGTATTAACATTATAAACAGTATTAACATTATAAACAGTATCATTAATATACCGTAACTGTAAAGATTACATTGTTTCATTTTTCTGAAGAAAAAGACATCTAAAGAAAACTCAACTTTAACTAAATCAAATTATTATGTACTATTATATGGGGATGTTAGATCTCGCATTTACTTCTATAGAAACTAATCATATATATACAGAACTTAACGACAAATCAATCTGAATGAATATTATTACCTTATTATAAACCAAAATTTTAAAGAAAAATTAATTACTACAACAAATCTTCAAAAGTTTAAATGCGTTGCATCAAATATGTTTGGAGAACACTTGAAACAAGTATAAGTCCATCGATAAATCCTATTCCATCTTACAGATATGACTAGTTATGTGCCTATAAGGGCAATTATCTGAATGACTGTGGCCGATATGATAATATTTATGTCAATTAATCAATTCCTGAATAGTGATAGAAAGGTCTGTCAGTTCTTCTATCACCACAGAATGTACTTTTCTAAAGTCAGCAATTTGTTCCAGTTCTTTAATTACTCCTCTGCTTTCTGCCTTTTCTCGTAGAAGTGCATGTACGTACATTTGTATTATGCAATGAAAACTCCTTCAAAATATGTATATATACTATCATTTCATCATATATTTACATCCATTTAATATTTTCTCCATTATCCAATTTTACGAAAACCATATGTTTACAATGTTTACTTTTTGACCATAGCTATATCCAATTTTTAATGGCATTTTCCCGAGAAGTAATTCCAAGTATGAAATAAATGTTAAGGTGTAACTGTTTTATAGTTCTTTCATCGATGTAACATATGGCTCCATGAACAACACATTGCGTATTTTACCTCACCTTATATTAATATTTAAGTTCTTGTACATCATGACTTATCTGCCATCATTTATTGCGTATTTTATCTCACTTTATATGAATATTAAAAAAGATTAATTATTGTACAGTGTAACTTTTCTGCCATCATTCATTGCCTATTTTATATCACCCTTTATTAATATTTAAAAAAAAGAGTCTAAGTTCTTGTACAGTTTAACTTTTCGGTCATATTGCAACGGTCATTTCCCGTAAAACACCAAAAAAAGAAAGCAATTCCTTGTTTGAAGAATATCTCCCTATTTACGTTCTCCAGGTTGTTTACATTTCAATTACGTCAGTAATTTTCTGGTTATTACATCTACTAAAACTATAACCAAACAATAACAAATTAACAGTAAATGTCCCCATATATCCATAAACTACTGAAGTATTGAGTTGTTTTCCTACTTAATTAGTGTTTCACAAGGGTTTCGTGGGACGTGCGTTATTATTTGATTAGTTTGTTGTACTATTTCATGCACTCCAATTATTTGTCCACCTTTCTGACAAATGCGTTAAGAATATAATGCATGATAATTTCCTATTTATAGTTCCTATAACGGTGTTTTTATTTGCAATTTAACTATTATTTATAACACTTACATCGATTAAAAATTCCAAAGGAGAAACAATTTATTAGGAATGTATGATTCATGAACATGAAATTACTTTTGGCACTAACATGTTCATGCCAGATGAAATAAAAGAAAATGGAGAGGGGTTTATAAACATTGTATGTTGCTCCAACTATTCAGATAAAAAAGGTGTTTAAATGATTATTGGAATATTGCAGTTTGTGGGATCTTGTTGATAATCATACTAACATTGAATACTTCTTATTGTTGCGATCACATAAAACTTAAATGAAAGAAGACCAAAATCGCTGTTTATATGTCTTTAATTTATTCTAAAGCCATATATCCTAGAGATCACAAGCCCTAACCAAAGAGCTAAGACAAATTTCAAATGTAAAATGACTTAAAAAATCTAAGTTTCAATTTTATCAAGTTGTGAAAATGTAAAAAGTAACAAAATGATCATGAAACAACAGCTCTTATTTCAGGTAAATTTTAATAAAATCACAAATCTTTATATGAAAAGCAATTTAATGTACATTGAATTCGTCTAAATCATCGAGTATATTTGGCAATTCAGAGTACTGAGAAATCATATAACATTATAAGTTTGATTTTATACAGATTCCTTTCCCAGCACATTGCACTTCCAAATGCCAACACAAGACTTGATGACTGAATTAGCAACAGAAGGTTATTTTCAGTAGCAGTAGCAGTGTATATGTAGATGAATTTCCTGTAGAAATAACAAAGATGTCTGTATATTAGATATTTAGAATAAGGGTTATATATGTGTAACTCTGGCGTAAAACAAATCTAGTGTAATATACCCTTATTAGTTTAATGTAGAAAGCCTAGGGGGAAAACGGACATGTTCTTTGAATTTTAATCTTATAGCTGGGTTTTTTCAAAAAGTTTTAGGACAAACAGGTACATGCTAAATATCATAGACTTACCTTTTAAATGTCAAAAATATGCTGTATATCGGCACTATGTACTATTTTGATAAGTAGGTCAAAGGTCAATGCTGACGAGATCGGTAACCATGGTAATTTACAAAAGGCATAGTGCAAAGCAATATATGTGCAAAATAGTCCAGTCAAATTAGTCCTAAAACACCCTAACCTTAAACAAATTGCAACAGAAATTATTCCAGTAGAATTTTGTTATTTATAATGTGCCTTTTGATATATCAAAACTCTAGAAAAATATATTTGTCCAAACATCACTTTTTTCAGTTTTCAAAAAACCCGATTTTTGTTCAAAAATGCCGATAAATCACTGTTTAAAAAGACACTCTATATATGCATAAAAATAGTTTTGCCATCTATATGATCTTAAATTTTCTTGATAGGTCATGCAGAAATGAATCCTGCACACTGAAACTGGTAATTATTTCATTAATTGTTATGAATTCCTGTTTCCATGGCAACGGACATAATTGAAAAATAAAACTATTCCAATTCCTCAGTATGGCTTTGTGTAGGGATAAAGAATATGTAGCCATAGTAGGAATGACAAGTTTTATTAGTTAAAATAATTTTTTTTTAAATTATATATAGGGGACAATTAAGCACTCATCCCAGGAATTTTTTTCAGGGGTGGGGGGTGGAGGGGGAGGGTTCATATTAAATATCACAGATGTCAAGTCTCGGAAGTTTTCTGACAAGCAAATATAAATAAATAAATAAACAAATAAGTAAAAGGAAATGAAAATAAATAAAATTAATTGCCTCAAACTTAAAAAACCTTTTCAGAGGAGAAGGGAGGAAGGGGGTCTCTTTTCATAATGCACACGACTTCTTGCCTTTTAAATAAGTGTCCCGGGGAATGGGTTCATAATGCACATGACTTGTTGCCATTTTAATAAGTGTCCTGGGGAAATGGGTTCATAGACATGTTTTTGTTACTTTTACATATAACCTTTTAACTCTTGAAAATCTCAGGGGGAGGGGGTCAGTCCCCCCCTTCCCGACAAATCTCCCTTTAAAGCAATGCATGCTTAGGACATTCATCTGAAATACGTTATATCTATGGATACGTATCACTTGAACGAAATCTTAAAAGTCAGTTTTCCCCATTGCTTTTATCTGAAAGGTTAATTAAAAGATATAATAAAAAGTAATATCGTAAAAATCCATTGAAGGTGCCACAGAATACCTAAAAAATAAATGAATGATAATCTTGAAACTGGAACTGGTTCTTCACCTAAATGTCAACCTCAATAGTATATATTCAAATTGCTTCTTTTTGTATTCAATATAATGTTCATTGATAGTTTTTATATCTCCTTTGGATTTATTTTGTAATTTGTGTGTGTGTTTCGGAGGGGGGGGGGGGAGGTATCACATCATTTAAGCTCTCGGCACTTTGAAGTAAACGTTGCAGGTCTTTAGGATGAGACTTTAAAAACCCCATTAAAGGCCCCATATCACGGTACATGTAGGCGTTAGCATGATAAAGAACCCTCACTGCTCAATAGCCCTAAGCGCCGTGTAAAGGTCTAAATTTCAAGCACTTTGCCGATATAATTATGGTGACGTTTCTATATAAGTGAAAAGTTCTTGAACCGGGCGTAAAACAACATACAATCAACCAATCTTCACAAGCGCTGCTTATAGAGGCTTAGATCTAGAGTCATTTTTATGACAATTAAATTACCTATCTGATCATTTTCTATGCTCTTTTAAGTGATAAATTTCATTTTTCGTGATAGGAAAATAGTATTTTTACAAAACTTTTCTTATATATATGCAGGTGTATTTGGGATGCTACTTGGAAAATAAGTCGATAATGTTGTGTAGTTTTTAAAAAGCTGAAATGCACAAATCTATTACATAATTGGATGTGTTTAAAAAATACAAATATTCCACAACGCCGCTTATTTCAAAGACTTCCTGTAAATTTAGATCCCGGCCCTCGTGTGACCCTACTTGGCTCCGGGGTTATGTTAAATAGAAACTAGAAGCGAAATCTGAATCAAAGTGACACAAATATAATGTTTAAGAAATATGTTTACAAATTACAATAAAATATACTATACATAATAAGCATAATTATAGTGATTATGCACCTCCCCCCCCCAAAAAAAAAATATGAATAAGGCCATCATTAAAGTATTGTTTGTTTGCCCTCTCCTGATTCAGGGTAAAATTATTAAATCGGCAGGTAGGTAAGAAAATCTTCTTTTTTTTTCTAGACAATTTCAACATATTTGTTGACAGGATAAGAGGAATAAAAAGAAAAAAAATATGATGTCCTGGAATGTAAAAACAAAAAAGTTTTGAGTCGGACCATTTTTAGTCAGTCAGTCGGAAGAGGGCAACCAAAATTTTTTTCCAAGATGGCCTAATCTATTTTTTTTTTTTTGGAAATAGTAAAGTAGATCTCACTAATATAATCAACATTCTAAAGAAAAAAAAATCTTTAAACAAGGTCATACACCAAAATATAACTTTTACAACTGTAGGTAATCAAATATTTTTATGTTGCAAAAATACCACTGACAACTTTCCATAGAATATTTCCCCTAACGTTTCCAATATCTAATAAAAGAGAAGTAAACACTAATTTATATATGTGCACGAGTTATTATTAATTGGAAGATTGAATTTTTACAGAAATACATGATTAATATATAATTTTTTGTGATTCATAGACCTAATATTTGAAAGAAAGGTTCCTACATGCTTAAAAATTGTGATGCAGATAATGTAGTATATACTAAGGTTTCAACAATATATCGTTAAGTTTAGACATATATAAGATTCTCAGATCTTATATCTCCAGTGCATTGGTGAAATTTAAACCAAAGCATGTATACAAAATGAATTATAAATTTTATTATGCTTCTTTAAGAAGAAAAGTGGTTTGTTTACAGTGGTTAAAATTGTCTCCCTTGGTGCATATGGTAGCACATTTCTGCAATACATATTTTATCAGACCAGTAAATATTTATTTCTGAAAAACACATCTTTCGCCTTTATATATTTTTCTAGAGTTTTTATATGTTGATTATAATACAATTTACTAATTATAAATAAAGAAAAAAATTCTGTTGCAATTTGTTTAAGGTTTATGACAATTTGACTGGACTAAAATATCACATACTTCTTTCAGTTGTCGAGATATAAGATATGACAGACGGACAGACAGAAGCCGGGAAAAGTGATCCCTAAGTGTCGCTCTGTTCATTTTAATATTTGAATATATTGAAAGAAATGTGTTGAATGAGTATTACATAATTTGAAGTATTCCAAATGAGAGGGATTATAATTTTTTTTTCCAGAAATCAACATGAAATACAAATGAAGTGTAGAATAAGTCGTGTTGTTTTGATTATTGAAAATATATCAAATGTCTTCAGGAAAAAAATTGATAGGGCTCACGGCAGGTGTGACCGGTCAGCAGGGGATGCTTACTCCTCCTAGGCACCTGATCCCACCTCTGGAATTTCCAGGGGTCCGTGTTTTATGCCCTCTAAACATATTTGTAATGTTTGTGGATTTTTTGAGATGGATCACTGTTCATTATCTTTACCTTTTACATTATAATACTCTAGATGAAATCCCGCGCAAGCGCGGGGATTTGAATTTATACCACTACCGGCAGAAAAATTCCTATAATATATTTTGTAATTTTTTACCATGCACGGATCAAGAGGGGGGGGGGGGTTCCGGACCACCCTGGAATTTCCAGAGTTATTTTAAAGTATATACTGAAGCAAATAAAAAATGACCCCCCCCCCAGAAAACGTGGACCCTACCATCACCACCACGAAATAGGTGTTTTTTGGATATGAGTTTTACGTTCGTTTTTTGTTTTTTGTGCTTGCCAAGAATTTTTTCGGTTGGAATTTTTTTTTGACTGGAGTGGAAACCCCCCCCCCCCCTCCTTGGAAAAAAATCCTGGATCCGCGCCTGTCTACTGACAGCCTACCCCCCCCCCCCTTCGTAAAAACTTGAAAAATAACAATTTCAGTAATTGACGTATATTGTGAAACCTGCTATACTATGTTATGAATATTGTACTTCGAATGCCCATATTTCATTTCCGTCAAATGAAAAAGAATCGAATATGCACATTTTAATGATGAATTGATTTCTTTTTCCTTTTTCTTTTTTCTTTTTTTTTTTTTTTTGTAAACATTACGTTTTAACGCCAGGCCAAGTATTTGATACAAAAGACTGTATTCAGGAAAAAAAAAACTGAAATGTGTTATTAAATCACAAAATTTTAACAGCTTTAATTGTATTTGAACAATACCTTATTCAATTTTCTCTTTTCATGTAAGCAAATTTATTACGAAGTACAAATTGTACTTCAGGTTCGTTGCCACTATGCTCTCATAGAGGAATATACAGATTTTACATTAGGAAAACCTACTTATAGTCGATCATTCGACATATAAATATATTCACAACTTATAGTGTTATCTATGATTTACCATAATTTCGATGACCATTCACACAAAAGTTTTTATTTTTTTTTATGTTCCTGCAGCTATAACATCGGGCTCGATGCTATGTGATGCTCTAGAAGTTTCCGTCAATATTATGATCGGTGAATTACGAAAATAATTTGTACATTTCCCTTTTGAATCGGTTATCATAACTTAATTCTTTTATATCATTTAAATCAAGTTTTGATTGAATAATTCAGTGATGACATTTATGAAATAAATAAACGATTGCTTGTTGTCAGTTTTATTAAATTGCCAGTAACTTAGATCCGCCAATTGGAACCGCCACCTTACTCACATTTTTGCTATTTCATGGCTGTTTATAGAAAATGAAAGTAGACTTTTAATTTAATGTACGATACTTATTATGCGAGTGAGATCTGAATATAGTTTATGGACATCATCTTGTATCTAGTGCATTCATAGAGGAGTTAGTAAGAACTCTGGTGCACCCGTTTTGGAGTTTATTTGCAAAATCTATTAATTTATAAGTATAGATTTTGTATCAAAAATATGTCTATTTTTATAAAAGCTGTAAACAGGAGTTGTTTTATTTACGTAAAATTAAGAACAAATCTTTACACGTGATTTCTCCTTAAAGACATACATTGCAACACAAGCAACAAAATGATATATTCTTTACGTCAAAAATGGCATACGTAGAATTATGTTTTTATTCATTGCTAATCAATCATATGTCGTATTTCCCATGCCCTTTACTGTCAAAATCTGTCAAAAGGAATATGTGCCATAACAAGTGCAAGTGCATGGGGAACTGGACCTACATTGCATTAAAATTAGACCCACCCACCACTTATATCTGATAAAAAAGTGTTTTCAATGGAAAGTCTTCCTTTTTCCATTTTATGAATAACAAAACCCCGAGCTATAACGATTTATGTACAGTCAGTTAGATGTATTATTGAATGAAAATGCATAGAAAAACAGAATATTATTCCTGTAATTATTTGCAGATTTTGCTTTTATTTAGAAATAAGTTAGTTATAAAAAAAAATCTATATCATGTGTTACACTTTTTAGTTTGTAATTATTATTATAATGTTAGTTATCATGAAATTGATACACATATAATATGGTTACACCTGACTGTATACAGTGTATAATGATCAAAATATGCAAGCTAAAACCCACGTATCACATAACACGTAACGAAATACAATCTATACATATCGCATGTAGTTGAGTGTAACATTAAAAATTTTCACCCCAAGAAAACCATTGTCAACCGAGACGCAATGTTACACTCAACTAAATGCAATATTTATTTATTATACTGAATCTTTTATACAAATACATATAACAGTGAACTTTGCACGCATAAATTCTGCGCAGTCACTATTTTTTCGAATATCACCCGTCGTCAAGCAGTGTTGACTGTTGCTTTGCTGGGGGGCATGGCTTCATTATTCAGTGTGTTATTTAACAAACGTTTCTCGGCGAATCAGATTCAATTATTTTACATGAAAGTATAATATTAATCAATGTATGAAAGTAGATAAAACCTGAAGTGATCAATACCTGTTGCGAAATGGACACGACATATTTGGTGTATTTTAACTAGGAATGGCAATCGGTTAAATTTTTATAACTGGATAATCGTAATTTTGTTCCGACCGAGTAACCGGCTAGTCAAACAGAAAAGATTTGTTTGTAACTTAATTATGTAATTTTTTAAATTCGATTCAAATATGCAATTAAAAGTTAAACTATGATGATTAAAATTCTTTACTCCCTAATCAAAGTAGAAAACGATAAACATAGACTTTAATTTCACTACTTTCTGCAACTTTTGTAGACGTTCATACTCACATCTCCATTGTTATTCTTTATTTAATTCTTTCATTAACCACTGATGATGAATGGAGACTTTGAAACTTATTCACCACCACCAACACCCCCATCCCACCTTACCCCAACCCCCTTCCCCAAGAAAAGAAGAAATTTTAAAGTTTTGGTAGTTTTGTGCTCTTTTAATCATGGTTAAATAGTTATGTCTCAGATACATCTTTAACGACTTTTAAAGAGGTAAAAATTAATTTTCTATGATGGTGCGTTAGCGATTTTCTCTAGTGTAGATAGATGTATAGATTTCACTACTATCTCTATATCTTCATAATTGTCAAATAGCGTCATAACAATAAACCAAGTAAAAATCCTTGCTTAGGCATAAGATATACTGATTTTATGATTGAAAAAGATTTGAATTAGGCCCTACCTTTTATATTAACCTGATATTCTATTTACATGTTGTTTCGTTTTCATGATGTGTTTTATTTTTTATGCATATTGCTACTAGTCAGAAAATAGTATTTAATGTTTTATTTCATGATATTTACACAGAATTATAAAACGTACTTACACTGAAAGCATATCAATTTGAATGGAATGTCTCTGACAGAATTTTTTATATCCATCTTCTTTATCATTTCAGGCAGCAGTGTCGCAGGTCTTCGACAGAGTATGTACTAGTTATAACATTATCATATTATATTTTGTTGAGACATAGCAAAACCACATATACATGTCTTGATACATTATACAAAAGAATATGAACAATTCAAGTACATTTATTTTCCTTTTTACCCCTTGAGATTGTTTTTTATCACTTTAATACAAAACAAATTTTGTCCGAAGAATGCATTTTTTTTTATCTTACCAAATAAATCAAAATATAATTTCTTAGAATTACTGGAGCGACTTTTAATCAACAACCAACTACAACAAATGGCCGGACAAGGGTTAGGGAGCACTATGGACATTGGAGGTGGATCTCTCGCTGCTTCCTCTCTGGGGAGCGGATTGAATGGAGGTTTGGTGACGGGAGGTGGTCTGAGCAGTTCCGGACTAGGTCTAATGGATTCCAGCAGCCTGCTCGGGAGGGGCGCTCAAACTCCCTCCTTAAATATCGCCTCCCTTCTGGACTCCATGTCGTCTCCAAGAGCACAGATTTCACGTACGTTTCGAAAGATATTTTTTACATCACACTGTAGATTCCTTATTTTTCGCGAGTACTTATTATCGCGAAATGGTGTTTTAACGTCAAATCGTAAGAAAAATAATTCGCCAGTGGACGGTTGATCAAGATATTTTACATGGATTTTAGCACAATGAAATAAAAGCGAGTAATTTTATTTCGCGAGGGGTGTTTCTCGCGAAATTACGCGATAATTTATTCCTCGTGTATATTTAGGAGTCTACAGTAAATTACAATCTGCATATCAAATATTTACATTGATGGTTCACAAAGTCGTTAAAATTGTGTCGCTGTATTTTCTTACATAAAAAGAGTAATATTCATTTGGAAGTATCTATAAAAAAAATTATCTGTCATATTACTATCACGGTAGCGCAGTCATTAGAGCGCTCGCTTTGTGATCGTATAAAAAAAGGTAGCAATTGTTCCTTCGCCAGCGCTCGGCACTTTATCTGGTAAACTAAACCTATACATTTCCTTCTGAAAATATGAATAGAAAGTTATTTGGAAATTTTATATGAATTAACTCCATCAAAAAGTAAATCTTACTGAGCAGCGAAATAAGATATGTCTGTGGTTTTCCTATAATGGATAATGTATTTGAATTTTAGACAAATATTCAAATAATTTACCTTACTTCTTCAAGAGCACAGTTCTCATGTACGTTTCGAAAAATCTTCCAAATTATAATACGCATATCATATATTCACATTGATGATTAAAAAATTCGTTAAAAATGTATCGCTGTATTTTATTAAGAGGTGTAATAATAATTTGGAAGTGTCTATAAAAAAATTCATGCAAATTTTAGCATACAACTTTTCAAATTACTCAAAAACTGTAATAAGGAAACTTTATTTGAACTTACTGTGTTTATGTGTAAAAATTAGTGAAAAGGGCATTATAAGGACCTTCATTATAAGGGCAAATGTATACTAATTTTAGACAAATGTTGAACGTGGTATCAAAAAATGTCAATGCAATCGATAAAAACACTGGTGATTTTTTGATTATCACGTTATTTTTATTTTAATCTTCTAGAACCGTCTAATACCAAGGTATTGACACGAACAGCAGCTATTCAAAGCCTTCAGAGACGGCTTGATGCTCTCAGAGGAAACCAGCTTCCTGAGACGCAAGGATTAATGAAGAGTGGAATAGGATTCCAAACACCTACACGAGACCAGAGCTTAAAAGAGAATATTATCAGACAAACACGTAAGGAAACGCCGAATGCTTCAGTGAAAATCACAGTCAAAAGGACAACTAAAACATCCGGAACAGGAAAAACCAGTAAAACAAATACCCCTCCCATGATTCCTGCAGCTACAGATTCCTTCAGTGCAGCCTCCTTGCTTAACAATATCCCCAGGACACCGACAATATTTCAATCAGCCCCTGTTGCTCGTGCACAGCCTGCAAAGGTGCCTCAAATACAGTCTCCATCCACAGCACTTGTTCAAAAGACTTTACCAACACCAGTTTCACAGACAGCAAATCTTGCTGCTGCCAGTGCAGCCGGAGCAGCGTCAGCCATTAATTCTGTGTCGTCAGTGGCAGCAGCAAAATCTATGCAAAATCAGATTTCAGACATGATGGACACGCGGATGGATATGATAGGTGATATGGCGGAAGCGGGAATGTTAGGTGGTGGTATGATGGGACTAGGGGGACTGAGTGCGATGAACAGTTTAGGTGGATTAGGAGGTATGGGAAATATGGGGGGTTTGAGCAGTATGGGAGGTTTTGGGGCCATGGGAATGGGTGACATGATGGGGGGACTTGGTGGTATGGGCATGGGTGGGCTTGGAATGGGAGGGTTGGGGATGGGGAATGCACTAATGGGCGGTGGACTCGGCGGTATGATGGGTGGGGGTTTAGGGGGCTTAGGGATGATGGCAGCTTTCTCATGAGATGATTTAAGAGGAAACTAAGATTATCTGTCTACACATACATTGCTTCCGAATTTCTTATATTATTCGAAAGAATCTAATCATTTTCACAAACGTGGGAAAATGATAAAATCGATAAATGTCGATAAACCCAATTATATCTCAAGGATTCATTAAAAAATGCACCTCTTGTCATTCAAGAAAGGAATTGTATTGCCTGAGAATGAAAAGTGAATGTGGAAAAGTATGACAGAATTAATGTGCGAACTCTTCATATTTACAACGGTGGGACAGCATTCTACAGAACACAAATATAAATCATTTTAGTCACTGTCTATCATTTTCGGGACATTATATCCACGCATCTCATTGTCAAAGATAAAATTATCATCGCCATAAATTGACAATAAACGGCAATCCGGTGTGTTTATGAATCAACCGGACAAAAGAATTAGATTTCAGTTTTCGATTTATCAATCTTTTTACATCATTCATTAACTTCCTATATTTGCCTGCAAAATATAAAATAAAATGTGAAACGGTTATAAAATTGCAAAATTGTCAAACAACTAACAAGCGGTAAAACTCCTAGTTTGTGACTTTTTATGAGATCAGTAAAATAGAGCTATGTATAATAATGTATAATATACCAGCACTGAACAGCAGTAATTAGTCTTTTCATTTCGCCATTTGTAATAAATCATCATTTCATTAATATAGAATCTTGTCCTTCAGTAGCTTTTCTAATATTTATTTCAAAAACGTAGATAGCTTTATTGAAATTTCTTTGTATATACAATTATTTATTATATATTTATCAAAATAAATCAGTCTCATGCATATATCTTCTTCTTTTTTTCTCTCCCCCCCCCCCCTCCCTAGCGCGACGATGTCCTGTCAATAGGAAGGTTGGGAATGTGGGTTATATCAAACAAGTCATTTAACTTCTTGAAATATTCTTGATGATTATAATTGTACAGATCTTTCTAACTCGTGAGGAAAGGAATGAAATAAATCTATTTCTAGTCACAATGGGTTCATATTCAATCTGACTCTATGTTCTTTTAACGTCAGTCTGTTTTTGGGTCAGTTAACAACCTTTCAATATTTGTTTCAACTCAAGAAATAATATGAATTGAAATATGACCATAACGAACAGTAATTAAGTTCAAAAGTCCATCGGAACAGTACAAATTGGGAGCAGAGCTAACACGGACTCTCAAAACATCAGAGGTAGGATCAGTTGTCATGGAGGAGTAAAATCCTGAAAATTAAACCAAACTTACACAAATTAGTTTGGTAAAGAGGAAAGTTTGAATCTTCTAATTTTCAGGTGCTTTCAATTTACGTCAAATAACCTGCCTGTCCTATAAAAATCTTTGCAAGGACAGCTCGGCAGAACAGTCACACCTCTGTACAAGTTTCCGGATTTTTTTTTCCGATCATGGCAAGGAGCCCACGGTGGGTGTGACCGTTCGGCAGGGAATGCTCACTTCTCCATGGCAACTGATCCCACCTCTAAATTTTGAGGGTTTTTCCATTGGACTTTAGAGATCAAATAATGTTCGTTATCTTCATATTTCATAAAGAATGAAACTCGCCAATATTCAAACAAAGAAGACCTGTTTAGATATATAAATAATTATGATTTATTGATTTTTTTACAACATAGTATAACAAAGTGTAAGAACAAATTCGTAACCATATAAACATTTGCATATTTAATATGCAATATAATAGAGAAATGTTGATTATTGATAAATTTGGCTCGGAAAAAAAAGAATTCATATACTTATATTGTAAATATCAATTCAACTCTCCACTGTGTTACTAAATATTGTAATTAATGATACATGTACAATGTCTCATTTCTTTTGATATTCTTTTTGTGAATTTATAAAAGCTCTAAATAAATATCAGATCCCTTGATAAATTTGGGTCTTGTGGAATTCTGACTTTGTACAACACAAAACTGTTCCATGTTCTTCAGCTCGATGTTTACTGCAAATAAAATGAATAAAAAAAATAATTAGTTTGCACGATGAAACTTCAATACATGAATCTAATCAAAATCTTTTTTGTAAAGGAATATACAACTATAACCGTAAGAAATTTTGGAAGTATGAATGATTCATTGTCAAAATTGTGTTCAAGTGGTTCGCCAATTTTACATAAATTCTTTTTACCTGGATATAACTGTAATTAATCACGGTCTATGATTCTGTTTACTGCATTTACCTGTAATTAATCAATCTATGATTCTGTTTACCTGGATTTACCTGTAATTAACTAATCACAGTCTATGATTCTGTTTCCTCCCTGATACCATTCTGGAGCACAGCCACCGCATGGATTTGTTCTATACAATACATTTAAAACCATGAGTTTTAAAACGGATATTAAAGACAAAAAATAATTCAATATTGAACAAGGAGGGACGCATAAAATTTTAATAGAAACGCTGGCACTATTGCATCAAGGAAATTTGATGCTAAGTGTATTATTTTTGAAACCTCTTTCATTTATTTTTTTTAGAATAAAATATCCTTTGAAATTATTTGGTTTTTGTTTCCTTTAAACATAAATATTCTTGAATTAATTTTTGAGAAGTAAATATTAATGACAGCATTTTAAAAAAAATCTCAACTAAAAATGGAAAATTTGAATGTTTTTTCTTCTTCTTTTTTACTATTATGAAAATATCAAAGAGACTAAAAAAAAAGTAATAAAATTACATTCATATTTGAAAGGTAGGATTTTTTTCTTTTATTAAATAATGAAAAATTAGAGCACATATTAGTAACACTCTTTTTTTTTTTTTTTTAAATTTTTGACTTTCCATGTAATTAATTTTAAAACATTGTACTGTCAAGTTAAACAGACAGATACAACTTACACACATCTTGCAGCCGGAAATCTTTTACATCTTACAGGACAAGGATTGATTTGGCAATGGCGGAATGTTGTAAATGATGGACATTCTGTAAAAATATGATTTTAACCTCTTTTTACCGTGTATGCAAAAAGAATCTCTACATTTTACAGAGAAAAAAATATTCCTCTACATAAAAATTTTACATAGAATAATACTCATCTACGTAAGGATTTTGCACAAAAAAATATACCTCTACAGAAGAATTTTACAGTAAAAATATTCCTTTCCATAAGGATAAAGAAAAACATTCTCTACATAAGAATTTTAAGAGAACTCTTTTTTCTGTTTTTTTTTTAAATCAAAAATGGTGATCAAACTCTGTTAGTAAAGCACTGACTTATTTTAGCAGCATTAATAAAATCTTAAATTTATGACAAGTTACTTACGATTAGGTGTATATACAACTTCAGGTGGGTCTAAAAAAAAAAAAAAACAACCAATGTTATAGACTGGTATAATAAACGAACAGAAAATTACTTTGAGAGAATCATTTGATGCAGGAGAACTGTATATTTTAATGAATGATAAGATTTGAGATTTTGTGTTAAAGTTCAATTTATTAATAACACAATAACAGCAAGTCAGTGTTTATTGTCTTGTTATTAATAGGGATCTACTTACTAGGATTGAAGTTATCTGAAAGAAGAAAGGAAAAAGAAAAATTATTTGCAGTTTATAACGTTTAAATTCACTGAGTATTATCTCCATCATATCCAAAAGAAAAATAACAAATTTTGAAATAAAATGTTGTGTCCTCAGTACAAAATAATCATATTAAAGGATCATTTTTCTCGCTTTACATCTCCTAAATAAAACTGCTTAAATTTCATTCATTTTCATCCTCTGTGAGAAATATTTCATAAATACAAAAAAAATATATCAAGCTACTGAACAAAGATTGTACAATGTTAAATGGCATTTCCTATTGTAAATAACATATACAAACCTTTAGTTTTAAAGATTTCACAATTAATTTACAAAACTTTATTATCTTCTGTTGAATTTCTTTTTCAATCATTAATTATTAAAATTTCAAAAATATTTTAAAATGTTGCTAAACAACTTCAGTTGGTTTTGACAACTAGTAATTACCTCCCATTCTGCTAGCCTGCATACTCAACATTAGGGACATAGGATTCATCATACCTGAAGGGAAATTCAATAATAATATTAGAAAATATATATCATTAAAAATTATCTTCACATGTGATTTAACAGTTCGTTCTACTTAATTGTATTATTATTTTCCTGTCGAATCATTTCAGAAGTACATAAAATGAGAATAAATTTTAATAGAAGACTGTTAAAATTAACATTAATATGAAAATACCTTGATTTTATCTATTAATCATTTTTTTCTAAATGTTCAATAAATAAGACATTTCCTGACTTTAATATTGCTCACCAGACATTGCACCCAAGCCTCCCATACCACCCATCCCGCCCATGGATCCGCCACCCGAATTTCCTCCCATTCCAGCTAAACTCATCATGGCCGCCATATTGGCTGCCTCCATCATGGGATTGGAAGATTGTGAAGAAGGATTGGACCATCCATTATTTTGTGTTCCCCAATTGTTGCCTGATTGTCCACCTCCCCCTCCCCCTCCTCCGCTATTGCCAAATTGAGGGTTTGGGTCCCAGGAAGGGTTGGATGAGGATGATCCTAAAACATAGACGAGTATTTAAATCTGTATAACATTATTGCTCAAAGTAACTTGGTTTTTACAAGAAAATTTTAAAAGATATCAGGCCTTTAGACTGGGGATAATATATGTCGGACTGAACAGAAGAATCGAAAGCGCAGCTGAAAATGCTGAATCCCTGCTAAATAGCAGTAAACATTTATACATGAGAACCAAACAAATGAAATTAAATAAAGTAAAGAAATATCTCTCACTTCAAATACAATGAAACTTTATTGACATATCAAAAATTATGAGAAATAGTTTTTCTTCTTTAAGTTTCGGAAACTTTTATCATACTCATTCAAAGACATATAGCTTTGGGAAGAAGAAAAAGTGTTATTCATGTATATACAGTATACAAAAACCCACATGTTACTGTACTGGGTGTTGTTTTTTATTTCAATCTAAAGATAAATAAAGTCACATACATGTTATATTAGATTGCGGTTAATCATACGAAATCTACAAAAAAGAGTCTATTACATTGTTTTAATGTTGTATTAATTTCAATACATAGGAAACTACGATAATTTTGAGCAGGATACCTTTGCAAAACTTGAAGATAATAGATTAAGCAACATTTTATGCTGTTTTTTTTTTTTTTTTTGGGGGGGGGGGGATTCTATTTTCAACATTGAAAGCAAAAGCAATTTTACATCCAGAGAAATAAAATTATGTGAACATGAACCAAGTGACATATGAAATGAACATTACTTGATGTGAATAAATGAAGGACAATATAAGATGGCCTATATGAGTCGGTACTCGGTCTAATGCCTCTTTGTCATATGTATGACAGCACTAGTCACATCTGACGCAGAGAACGTACAAAGGAGCGACGAGCGTATAATCGTAAGATGCACATCTACTTAATTTCCTTTATCATGATACCAAAGATCTACAGAGGGAGATTTATATAGGTTAATGACGGATATTTATCTCCATAATTATATGAAGAATTAGGCCATTTCTAATGACACACTTTGGGATATGCATATCTTCGTGCATGCATAAAACTATGACTTTTGAGTTATAAATAAATTTTATATATTCTTTAAAACACCGGCAATTTGGTTTATTTCTTTTTTTTTTTTTAAAAAAGAATCATTAAAAGTTTTCTTTTATTTCACAGATTTACATGAATTGTTCAATATAACATAGTAACATATAATCTTATTTTTAAAGGAGGAAAAGAGTATATGGAGACATATTAACAGACATATTATTATCAACAAATAAACAGAGTCTTTTATAATGTTAAATTAGGAAATATATTTTTCCCTCACTTTCAGACTATAATTAGTCCATTGTTATTAACTGTTAAAGAAGGATGAACATATCTATGTAAACAAAATAATAAAGTTTATTTCAATGTATACGTTTCCAGGACAGTTAGTTTTTTTTATAATTGTATATCTGTAAATATTTGTAAATATTATATATTTTTTTACAAAACATTTGAAGGATTAGTTCGTTCTAGGAAACCAGCTTCAAAGAAGGATATAAATTTACCAACACAGACTTACCCCAGTGACCTAAAAATCGGATACCAAAAAATTGTCGATATGAAGTCGATTCTCTCAAACATATAAATAGATCCGAATACTTTTAAAAAAATGGATCAATCTTATTTCTAAAAGATCATGGGAAAATCGTATTGCTAAAGACATTTTGTTTTATCAAATAATTTCAATTTTCTTTATTTGCCAATTTAACCATTTATTCAGTTTTTGCACTCAAGATATATTTAGACCTTTATAAATGCCCTAAGTTCCGTTCTTACTTTGAGCAAAGAAGTAATTGTTTGTGTTTGTTTGGTATACATCAAATGGATACGTCATTTCCTTAATAATTAATGTCATTACTTGATAGATAATTAACAGCTCTCGTCGTAAAATGGCATACTTACTGACAACGAAAGATGATTTACTCAAAACAAGTATTCTTTTATCATAAGGAAAACTTTGATTTTTTCCCCTTTTTTCTGTTCTCTTTTTATTCTTTGTAATGCCTTTTAAATGCCGTTTAAGAAAACTTACCTTGGTTTTGAGCAAGCAAAAAGTTGGTACCTAGAATTTAAAATCACATTTGTAAAATTAAAAATAAAGTTTCGTACTTGATTTAGGTGAAAAAAAAGCGGAATATTCTGAATGTGAAAATCAGTTAAAATATTATCGTTATCTTTCTTGACCGTGTACAAAAGATGTTTTTACAAAAGCAGCCATTCTATGGTTTTGCTTCATATTCGCATATCAATACTGATATCTACAATAACAAAAAATATGAAATTTTATCAAAATCTCAATAAAAATAATAACTAAGAATTCTTACCCAGTAAAACAGCTAAACTGATGACCCACACATAATCCATGTTGCCTGTTCTAGTAGTCCAATTTCCTCTTCTTAGTCTACACGGGTCAATTCAAAAGGCCAAACTGAGCTCAATGCGGACTTTTTTCTCGCTTGACCAGAGACGACGGACAAAGAATATAATTGATGTGTTCATGGTCAACAAAGCAAGCAATCGCCTCGATCGTACACGGGAACTGCAGTGCGTAGTGTCACCAAAGGCCATAAATTGCCGAGTAACGCACGCTCTGCATCGCCAGATTTCTATTTAAGTGTTTATCAATGTGTATTACAAGAGATGTGATAATACATGTACAATAAAAAAGGCAATAGGATATGTTAAATATGGCATGAATAGGGACGCCATAAATTGTAAATTGTCAAGTGAAAAAAAAATATATATGTACATGTCGGCTATCCAAATAGATTGGAATTTCCAAAAACAGAATTAAATAGGCTTATAACCAAATATGGGCTATGTTGTCAATAATACTTTAAACTAAATAATGCATTAGTGTAATGATTTAAAACCTAGTCTGATGAAAATCTTATCTCTCTCTCTCTTTAAACCAATCTAAAGGCTAGGGAGAAAAATGCTAACATTCGTTTTAAGTTGAGATTTAGTAATGAAGATACTTATTCTTAAATGTAAATGTTTGATCTCTAATGCAATGTGATTGAAAACAAAATTAAGATTAACTCTCAGATTTCAACTTCATTTAGTTTGTTATTAAAGAAAAAAATACACATAATTCATACTTCCTAGTTTATAAATAACCCATCGACTGAATAATGATGACGTAAATATCAAGCGATGGGAGTTTTCAGCTTCAAGCATTGACGTCATTGACTCTTTCAAAGGAGTAATATCATATTTATAAGAGGAAAAGACTGTTAAAGAACAAGATTGTATAGAAATATATATCTTTCATTATACATGTATTAATTATAAGTAAATGTTTAGGTTTTAATACTTTATACATTTACAACAAACATTACTGAGTTTAATGAAATACAAGTCATAAATCTATCAATCAAACTTAACTAGTATCTTTTCCTTTTAAAGTTTTTTTTTCATTACATAGTATTTAACAAAATCATACTAAAACAGCATTTACGTTTTTAGATTAATATGTAACATCAGAGAAAGGGACCAAAACAGAAATCGAAATCAACTACAATAAACCATCATATTTAATACAAATGGCAATTGACTCGGTTTAGAGTTGAATTAGGGCAGATAATACAAGCAAAGCTTAATGCATAGATTTGTTAGATTTATATATATATATATATATATATATATATATATATATATATATATATATATATATATATATATATATATATATATATATATATATATAAAGCACAATTTACAACAACTCTTAAACTAACATAAATGCCCTAAGTGAAGAAATATTAATATAGAAAGCACAAAGAAATTCACATTTATAAGGATACCCACTTCCGCCCCAGCCCGGGGTTGAACTCTCGACCTACGGAATCTGTCTCCTACCAGTACAGGAACCGCTTGGCTATCTAGGCAAGTCAAAAAACTTCCTTTCGATGCCGATAAAATTCTCACAGCCAGCGCCGCCCTACACTACACGGTCATTGAGAATAGAAGTGAGATACAGTTATTTGGACATTAGTTTTTATTAGAGGATCGTTACCAATACACGTTGTAATGAAATTACTTAGGGCAGTTATGTTAGTTTAAGAGTTGTTGTAAATTGTGCTTAATAAATAAAATTAATTTCATTACAAAGTGCATTGGTAACGTAGGGCAGCGCTGTGAGAGTTCCATCGGCATCAAAATCAAGTTTTTTGACTTGCCTAGATAGCCAAGCGGTCTAACTCGCTATTCCTGTACTGCTAGGAGACAGATTCCGTAGGTCGAGAGTTCAACCCCGGGCTGGGGCGAAGTGGGTTGGGAAGTGAATTTCTTTGTGCTTTCTATATATATATATATATATATATATATATATAGAAAACTTTTTGGGTTTTGGTCTGTAAACATATGCCCCACTCCCCTTCCGGTAAAAAAAGGCTTTGGTATTCATTTCTCAAATCACCATTCATTATACTTGTAAAAAAGAATTTTTGTTTCACAAGGGGGGGGGGGGGTTAAAACATTTCTCTTTTTCAGTTTATTTCCATTATGAAAAACACAAGTTTTACCAAAATTATAAACTTTTTCTCTTTGTTTTCCCAAATAAATTATATTTGAGGAAAATTCATATCAATATCTAAATAAATATGAAAAAAAGCATTGATTGACCTGGAGGTGGACGGCAGAACAATACTATCCTTAATTACTTCTACGTCACCCTTATAAAATTTCTAAACTTTTTAAAAACATTTTATAGGATTTCAATGAGAAACTTTGAGTGAAAAATATTTTTTTTAATTAGTTAAATGGAAAAAATAAACAGTTAAATTTATTCATTTTACTTATATAGACATGGGTTTGTTATTTTCGTGATTTATGGAGAGAAAAAACTGTAACATCTGTTCTTAAGATGTGTAATAAAAAGAAATTTTTTGAAGACGTTTCTACAAAGAGAAATTATATATATATATATATATATATATATATATATATATATATATATATATATATATATATACATATATATATATATATGATTACATATTAAAATGCATTATGCATAAAACCTCTCTAGTATTCATAGAAATTAAAAACTAGAATTCTGAGAGAAGGAAGTTAAACATTTATTATAAAGTGATAAGTGTATAAACCTACCAAATGATCAGAAAACCAGTACGACATTATAATGGATTATAAATAAAAATATAAAAGGTCAATTTGAGACATTATTTATTTAATAAGAATGACTGTTTCTCATTCATCACATATCATTCAGGCATATTAGCTCAGAGAGAAACTTAAGTATATTTTTTTTCTATTGTTAACATAGAAAAGTGAGATCAAAGTACCCAAAATATCTTACTAGAATATGGAATGTAATAGTTATAACACACAAAAATACTTCTGAACGTGTTCCACATGGTGATGAAGAATACATGAAAGTTCATCATTATATTCTACCTAATTTTCAGATGAAATAGTTTAAATCTAGTTCATTATACCAAGATAAGAATTTGACAAATGTTAATATCAATCAGTTTTCAGTGATGTTTCCTCCCCCTAAAAACTTGTCCCTAATTTGAACTTAATTGTGAAAGGCATTTCATGCAATATTCACTTCAATTTCACTTGAAATTTAATAAATCAATGCAAAATACACTATAATTATTTCCCTGAAATTCAATTGGAAACATTTCTGTGATACCTTTTTATTGTACTTTATTTTTCACATGAAATTTAATTAAGGAATTATTTTCAGTGTACATTTTAAACATATACGTTAAATTATGCTTTCTGTAAATCCTTTATTTAAAAAAAAAATACATGTATCGAGGAATAATAAAAGCTTATTCACATCATAAACATTAAAAATATATCCAAAAATTGAATATACTCTTTATCAATGAATTCATTTGTTAAGACATGACAAAATAACATAGAACAAATCTCTGACTGATAAATTCTTGGACGGAAAAAGTATATTAATAATAAAAAACTAAAATATTGATAAATAAACATTTGCTCAAATAAGAAGCATAAAATAGGATGGAATTAGTTGCATTGATCTAGTTTGTATAAGGAAAATTAATCACATAATAATATATACATTTCACTTGCTTTACACCAAGACAATTTTAAATTCATAATCTTTAAAACAATAAGTCTCAGTAATCTTTAGTCAAACTAGTGTATTGATTGTGGAGCTAGTCAACTTAATTAACAGTTACATTATGTGCATTTATTTATTGAGATAAAAATACGCCAAACTATTCCTCAAGCTAATCCACCAAAAAAAAAGCAAAGTAAATACCATAACAAGCTAAATATCTTTCAATAATATGTAAAAACAAAATGGTTAACATGAATTTCAGAGACATCTAATTTTCTACCTGATTCATGCTAACAACAAAGGTTCTAAAATTTAGAAACTACACTCCAATTTCCAGCACTTTATAAATGTAATACCCAACAAATACTATGTACCGGTATTTTTCAGGTCTTGATTTGGTTACATTACTATCAACACTTTAACAGTCTCTATATTGAATCAAGTACGGTCGAAATCTCATAATTGAAATATCAATTTCACTAGTTTTATACTATATTGAAATTAGATGAATTTATGGATTTACCTCAATACTTGAAGAAGCAACACAACTACACATAGTAGATATGATGTGCAGTCTTAAGTTGACACAGAGTCTTCGGTAAGTACAAGAACACTGTCACTAAAGGGGAGAGTTTACAAAGGTGTTCATACACTAAAACAACATTTACATACATGGGGTCAATTAAAGTAAACATGTTGAGCAGCAATGAGAATTTACTCGTAAAGTGTCTGTCTATTCAGCGGTGTTTCTCGTCCGTTTGTTTCGTCGGGCCGCGAGTTTAGCCTCCAGTCCCTGCTGAAGGCGGGCCTTATTCATCTCCTGGGCCTTTTGGAAATCACTCACCTCTTTCTCATGTTGTTTCTTTAGTTGTTCAATGTTACCTATACAAAAAAGATCATAGACCAATGAAGACAAGATTTCGATTTTTAAAATGAACACAAAGCATCTTTGTGCTTTGTCAGGACACAATACATGTATTTTAATTATTCACACTGAGTATATTATAAATTTCTGAAAGAAAGCTAGGATCAGCATACTCAAAGTTCATTACTGAAGTAGTTCCTGAATATAATTATGGAATATGAAGTATTTTTTCATGCTAAAGCATTTAGATTAAATGTGCTTTTTATAAAGATTTCTTGAAAAAACAAAAAAAACAAAATAAAAAACAAAAAAATCAAGTTAAAATCTCATGAACTACCACTGATGAGGATTATTATTAAGAATATACATGTATATCAATACTTAAAATCTAAATTTGTGAAATAAATGGAACATGATTTTTTTTTTTAAGTTTGTGCATTTGAATGAGACATGTTAATATGGATGGTTGAATACAAATATTCAAGTGATTTATTTCAGCATTAAAATTTTAAAAGGAAACGTCTTGATACTTTTAATCACGGCTTTTTTTTTCATGAGGTGCTTCATGACACCTGACTGGTGAAAGCCGCCATGAACTTTCAAATAAAAATGCATTTAATCTTACCAAACAAATCCTCCCCAGATGGGGGTGGTGCCAATTCACTCAGGGGCACGGGTGTGGGTGCTGGGGCAACGTCTTGTCCTCCTGGTTTCAACTACACAAAGATAAATTAGTATATATCTGTGTTTCCTATTAAGTCATTTAATGTAGAGATTAGAAAAAAATGCAATTCTATACAGTAGAACTTTGGTATCTGGAGCATTGATATCAAAACCACGGCCAAGTTAAAGTGAGTAGGATGTCACAATGACTTTTCTAAAATACATTTTACCTCCATATATCAAATCTTGCTTGTCTCAGTGCTCTTGAAAACTATCACACCTTCTGTCCTTTCATTTTTGTAAGGACAGCTAAAAATCTTTCCGTCATCAGTCCCAGGGACCGACAAAAAATGTATCAAATTGTGATTCCAATATATTCTCTTTCAATTTACTGTAACATACATGTACTTCGATTATGCAAATGTCTGAACTAAAGATGAAAGCTTCAATGAGTGGGGAAGAGACATGCTTATAAGATGGAAAAGGGGTCAAAGTGTTCCTTTCAGGTGGAGGAGAAGGGGCTGATAATAAAACAAAATGTTAAAATGTGTCATTAAACATTTCAATTGATGTAGCTCAGCGGTCCACTTTTTCTGGTCCCTATAGGAAATCTATGGGTCTTGCAAGAATTTCCTCCAAGAAGGACCTATTGGTTTCCTTGTTGATGAATGCTTTTAAAAACTCTGGTATCTACAAGTTTTTTCTTAGTCCCATCGATTTCTTGATAGTTCAATTGTGCTTCTTTCGATATACCTGTACATTTTATATATCATTGCAAAAAATATATGCTTAAATTTAATTTGAAGATCATTTAATTCTTGTCATACTTCTTGTCATAGTTTTAATGTCCCTGTATGTTTGGTGTCATAAGTTTTTGAGGGAGATAACAGAATTGGATTTTTGCCAGACCTAATTAACCCACTCTTAAAATCTTATTATTAATAATCTCAAGATTTTTCTTGTCTTCTTTTATGACTATCTCTCATACTTATTACAAATATAGATTTTGAGTAAAAGATAAAAAATAACACAAATATCAGGTAAAATGATAAAAACAGAATAACAAGAAATTTAAAACTGTGAAAATATCCATTATTTTTCTAATCTTAATACTCGAATGGGACGTAAAACACTATTAAATCAATCAATCAATCTAAACTTAATATATTACAAAATTCTTCAGCAAAGCAATATAGAAGATTTTAAAGACAGTGTCCCTTACCGAATTATCATCTTCACCGTCGGCTTTGAAGATGACTGCTTGGAGTTCAATATCTGCATCATCATCATCATCATCAGCTAACTGTATAGCTACGAGAAGGAAGCACCAGTCATAACAGGAATGTTATCCTTTATATCTGTACTTACTACACTTAAATGGTGTTCAGTTAATGGTAATGGCTTATACTATAATATGGATGTATAAAATATGTGTAGTCTCAATTCAGAATACTTTTTTTTCTTAATTTAAGGACAGATGATATAAACTTTTATCACAAATCTTGAAAATAACAACTTAAGTTATGTTTGTATAAATAAAATTAAACAAGTTTAACCGAATATATTTTAATATTTCATTAAAAATTTCACAATTATGAGATTTAAAGTGACAAAAAGTTGAATAGATTAATAAGGAAGGTTGGAGAAAAGAATTTTAAACATCATAGAAAGTTTAAAATTTCTTGATATTCAAGAAAGGACTATATTCGGTATGACCAATACTTGCCCCCCCCCCCCCCCCCCCCAATCAAACTTTGATGTACGCGAAATCTATAATTATGTTCTAAACCTGGGGGATATCTGCAAAATTCAAATCATTAAATATTTTCATCAGCTATGACGCCGTATGTTAAATATGAAGTCAGGAAAATGACGTAAATTCAAAATTTCCATGATTTATAGAGAAAAAGTGTATATTACGTATGTATTTTGGGTAAAAGTCACCGAGCGCAAGTCTGCTCTAACTCAGTGTTTTGAAATAATGTGTAGGATGATAATACCCCCTCTCTGTAGATCTCTATAGATTTATTATTATTATATTATTATATATATATTGGCATACATATCATAAATAATGTATAGTATGATAATATGGTTTTTGTGATTTTCAGAATAAGCATATTAAGTGTATTTCAAAATATGAAATATGATAGAAGAAGTTTATATTCATATTAGTTTGTTTTAGTACACACTTTCGTTACTTGATTAAGAAAAAACAAGACAATTACAAATTACAAACTAAGTATTTCTGCTGAAAGAAAGATTTCAAGTGGTACCCTAAATGCAGAGAGTCACCACAACCTAATTTGAATGTTACCAGAAAGTTTTGAGAAAAGGTAAAGAGAAAAAGTGGGTTATGAACATAGTTAAGAAAAGAATTACTTCAAAGTATGAGTTAGTAGAAGCTCTGTAGTGCCACTCTACTATTCTATGTTCACAAAAAACAAATTTTATTGATCTATTTTCGGAAAATATATGCAAGTAGAGATTCTATTCTTTTCACCAAGAATACAAGTAAAACTAAAGGGACTCAATCACTGAGTAATTTTCTATACTATGCAAGATTTACTAAGGGCATTTGGTAACAATTGTACTGGTCTTAGTTTAAGGGAGGGGAATGAAAAATATGAAATAGAAATAACTCAGTGCACAGGTAAATAATATATTGCTTCCTTTACTAACAGCTCACCTTGCAGTTCTGTGTCTACAAATCAAAACATTTACAAGAAGGTAAACATATTATTAATTGGTTATGTCTTTGTTTTTTCTGTTTTTTTTTAATATAGTAAACGTACGTTTAACATCAAATGGCCATATTACCAAGGCATGTTTTCATTGGAAACACCAGCTTACATCTATGTTCTCTCTTTTATTGTGGTCTTGTTTATTTGCTTTCTTATGTTTTATTTTATTTTTGGGGGAAAGAGTATCTTTTTTATGTCAAGAAATGTTAACAAAATGTTTTTCTCTTTCAATAAAAAAAAGACATATTTGAACTTTATTTACCAAGAATTAAGAAAAGAAGACAGGTTGAGGCTCTTATCTAATGATAATTTTCAGGATGCCTAAATTAGCAAGAGTTATTTTCCATTGGCTGCCATATTGGAGGTCAATAGCCCATTTTCCTTCATTATTCAACCATCTTTAACTTTTTATACTGGCCATTGTGGGGTAGGAAGCATTGTTTTCTGAAAAATATACATTTGTCAAAGCCTCTTTTATTTCATAGTTTGTATTCTATAAAAATATTTTTGCTACACCCTCTTAAATTCAGTAAGACAAAGAGAAAAAAAATACCAGGTTGACCACCATGATGGCGGCCAAGGAAAATAACTTGTAGAGAAAATACGTCATATGAAAACTATCAATTGTATTGATAGTATCTCATCATTTTAAATATGCCATGTATGTCTCCAATAAAAAAAAGACAATATTTTAATTATTGAGAAGTAAAGATAAAGTGATATCGTAATAGCTGGGTCACCACAGTTCTAAATGTTGTTTATGGAGACAAAAAGATAAACTACAGACAATATTTATACTAAGACTTAGCTTTACTTTATAATTCTGACCAATTTATTGCCATCAGTAAATGAATCATACTGCTTTGGACCTTGAGCAATGGAGGAAGAAATGGGAGTCAGACATTAATTCTTACTGGCATGCTACTAAGTAACCCTACTTGACTAGCAATTTAAAATTATGAAAAACTCAGTGATGTCATATACATGTATCACAGCAACAAAAACTGACCAATCAAGTGCATCCTCTGTTTCAAATTCAACTGACATTCTTATCAATTCAAGAATGCTAAATTTACCTTATTCAAAGAAAATTTGCTAACCCATTATTCAAATTTATATAAAATCAACCTATAACTACATTAGCATGCATGAAGCTGTAATATTCTCTGTTAAACATTCTGAGTGTGCACTTACTTAAGATTTATCTTCATAATATATTATAATAATATACACTCATTTGTTCATGCTTTCATAATGTACTAAAACCAAAATTGCAATGGCATAATTTGGAATATAAGCATTGATCATGTTGATATGATCACAAATTCTTGTGATAATTTGTCCAGTGCTTTTTATTGAAAACTAAAATAAGCACACAAACAGAACATGGATTTTTTTTATGCTTGCAGTAGTTGATTTAGCTAAGAGTTATATGTTTAAATTTCATTAATGCACTAGCTTATAACTGAAAGAAATGCAACAAATAAACCACTGTTGTTAAACAGCACCAACAAAAACCCATTAAAAGAAAGTCCTGTATCTATAATTGTTACATAAATTATCTTACCAGGTTTTTGTGCTTTTAAAGGAAATGCAATTGAAGAACATTTTTTATTCAACTGTGTAACAGTGTTGCTTATTGTATTTCTGCAAATATTCTCCTACATATATGTAAGAAAAAATACTAACAATCAGACTTGAATTTGTTTTTACATGTCTATACCAGATTCTTTTTAGCTCACCTGAGCCAAAGGCTCAAGTGAGCTTATCTGATCAAAATTTGTCCATTGTCTGTCATCGTCGTCGTCATTGGCGTCGTCGTAAACTTTTCACATTTTCATCTTCTTCTCCAGAACTACTGGGCCAATTTCAACCAAACGTGGCACAGAGTATCCTTGGGTGAAGGGGATTCAAGTTTGTTCAAATGAAGGGCCACGCCCTCTTTCAAGGGGAGATAATAAAGAATTAGTGAAAAATTAATAGCATCTTTTAAAAATCTTCTTCTCAAGAACCACAAAGCCAGGGAAATTGAAACTCATGTGGAAGCATCCTCAGGTAGTGTAGATTCAAATTTGTTCAAATCATGACCCCCGGGGGTAGGGCGGGGCCACAATGGAGGATCAAAGTTTTACATAGAAATATATAGGAAAAACTTTAAAAAATCTTCTTCTCAAGAACAGCAAAGCCATGATGAGTCATATTTATATGAAAGGATCCTCAGGTAGTGTAGATTCAAGTTTGTTCAAATCATGACCCCGGGGGATAGGGCGGGTCCACAATGGAGGATCAAAGTTTTACATAGAAATATATAGGAAAAATCTTTAAAAATCTTCTTCTCAGGAACAGCAAAGCCCTGATTGATCATATTTATGTGGAAGTATCCTCAGGTAGTATAGATTTAAATTTGTTCAAATCATGACCCCCTGGGGTAGGCGGGGCCACAATGGAGGATCAATGTCTGAAATAGAAATATATAGGAAGGTATCTTCTGATGAAGAACTGCAAAGCCATGATTAGTCATTTTGATATGAAAGCATCTTCAGGTAGTGTAGATTCAAGTTTGACCCCCGGGGATAGGGATGGGCCACAATGGGGGATCAAAAAATTTTCACATAGGAACATATTGGAAAATATCTTCTTCTCAAGAAATGAAAATCATGTTTAGTCATTTTGATATGGAAGCATCCTCAGGTAGTGTAAATTCAATTTTTTTTTTAAATGATAACCCCCAGGGGTAGTTTGGGGCCCAATGGGGATTGAAAGTTTTACATAAGAACACATAGAAAAAATATTTCTTCTCAAGAACAGAAAAGCTATGTTTAGTCATACTGATATGGAAGCATCCTCGGGTAGTGTAGATTCAAGTTTGTTCAAATGATGACCTCTGGGATAGGGAGGAGCCACAATGGGGGATCAAAAATTTTACAAAGGAATATATGGGAAAAATATTTTAAAATCTTCTCAAGTACAACAAAGCCATTTGTTATATTGACATGGAAGCATCATCAGGTAGTTTAAAATTCACCCCCCCCCCCCAACCCCCAGTAATCTTTTCAATACTGAACTGATTTGTGTCTAGCTAATGTGCTCAGGTGAGCGATGTGGCCCATGGGCCTCTTGTTTCATTTTGAATGAATTTTCAACAAAGGTACAATACATAGAAAACAATAAATTTTTCCCCAAAAGTCACGATAACAATAAATAAAGAACTTATTTCATAACTTCAATCTTTAATAAAATCTTTAATAAAAGTCTAAAAAGAAATGATGAAAATACGCAAAAACGTGTCTGTAAATTGAATTAAATTTACTTTTTTATATAGTTATTTTTACATTTCTAATCTGATATTTAAGTAGCACTCATTGTCATTTAAACTTATATCAGTGATCCAAGGTACCATACATAATTTATGTATCATTTATTACCCCCCCCCCCCCCCCCCAAAAAGGAAAATAGAAGAATGAAAATTCATAATGAACATGAATTTTTTTGACATCAGTATCTTTTACATGTATTTTGTGATCTACAATTTACTTTCACTTTACATACCTGTGTCATCTATGTCTACCTTTCCACCCTCCCCTTCTACTTTCTCTTTCAGTAGTTTTATCCTCTCTGCCCTCAGGGCTCGGTTTGCCTCGGACTCTTCTTTTGTTGCCTCCAGTATATCTTTCTCTATTACTGTGTTAATGACCTAAAGAAAAAAAAAATAGAAAAAAACATAAAAAGATGCTGACAATATTTTAGTTTGTGAAGCACAACACCATCTGAGACTGTCAAATTCCTATCTGTTAAAATACATGTTTCCAGTGCACCTACCAAGTACATACAGACATATTAAGAAGAAATTAAGAAAAATGTTTTTAGGAATTAACACCATCTTGTTGTATGTCTTAAAATATTCATTTAATGCAATATGTTAAGTAACATTTTTGGGGCTACACAGCATAAAATTCATAACAAAGAATAAACCTACTTCAGTATAACACTGTCTATTCTCATCATTGTATAGAAATATAGGCCTGTTTTAAAAAAGAACTTACATTATCAAACCACTGTAACAATGCCGCTGCTCTTTTATGCGTGACCTTGTAGCATTCCCCAGCGTGTTTGTGTCGGTCAGGTGACTGCATATCTATGTATATATTATTAGTTGCCTTCTCGAGGGTTTGGACTTCCTTGGGCTTACAGTAGGGGAAGTCGATATTGTCTAGGTATTTCTGACAGCTCTGTAAGTTTTGTATGGCTGCTATCAGGTTGTTACGGGCTTCTGTAGCAATACCGTATTTCTCTTGCATGTTTCTGTAGAAAAAAACATTTATATTTCTTCAAATTTTATTCAAAGTACACAGGTTCTTATCAAATTCAATGAGGAGAGTTATCCTACTTGAAGAACTCTAACATTTTCTTACAATTTTTTGTGTAAAAATTTAACATAAACAATTATTGTTTGTATTCTGGGGAAAAAAAGTGTACCTTATTAAATCTTAAGATTGGCTTAGTTTTAAGGTTTATTGATCCTCTGATAAGAGAGATAACTCTCAAAAGTAAATGACTTTTGTTCCTTTATAATAAAGAAAACTTAGATAGTGATTTGCATGAAATTTTTCACCTGCAGAGTATGCAGAATTTATGTGAACTTTAATTACCAGTATAATTCAGCTTTTTTCAGCAAAACATTAGTATTAAAGAAATATTTACTTGAGTGAACTTAAATAGGCATATCCAATCCATTGACCAAAATCATTTTTCCAAATTTCTCATTTAAAGTTTTTAAAAAATGATATTTTTTTCCCAGCCTTTTGAATTTTTCAATAGAGTCTTAAATCAGGACTACAATGAATTAAAAATTTTACCACTTTGTAACTTATTTTGTTTTAAAATGATATTATTTTTATCCTTGAAGATTTTATCCAATATTTTCTAATGTAATAGAAATACAATTTTTGTGTGTGTCCTACTACATCTTAGATACTCTTTGTAGAACTGGATTTCTTTCTTTGAATTATAAGATATTTCTGGGTTTTCTTTAATCATAAAAATATTTTGTCATAATATCTTGTCCTGTAGAGTAGCACACTTACACAGATGAGTCCTGTATGTCAGCCCAGCGTTTGTTGGCAAAGGCCATCTGATTACAGGCATGCTGCAGCAGAATTCTCCCATTAGTCCACTTGTACTTGGCATTACCTATCCTCTGTCTCTTTTCCCTGATAAGGTCAAGGTCACTTTCCAATTTGTTTTCAAGGTCACTACCATATGCACCATCAAAAATTTCAGCTGAAAATGCATAGATAAAAGAATATCAGTTCAATTTATTTTTTACCCTCTGAAACCAAGTTAATTTAAGAGTTCTACCTCATCTTACAAATTAAATCAGTGGGGTTTCCTCTTCTTGACATAACTATTCTAGTTCATCAGTGGCCCCCTTCTCCTTGTTAATTAAACAATGATGTTAATTACACACATTACTTACATGTTACACATGTAAATTAAACACTTACTTATACATCTTACTTGCATGTGTAACTTGCACAGTAGAGTTTCCTTTTCTAAACATAACCTCTCATTCATCAATGGCTCTCTTCTTGTTAATTGCACAATCATGTTATGGTACTTACAGATGTTACTTACAGCTGTTTAATTACTTAAAGATGTTACACATGTAACTTACACAGTAGGGATTCCTGTTCCTGACATAACTTCTCTAGTTCATCAATGACTCACTTCTCCTTGTTAATTATACAATCATGTTATTTATAAATGTTACTTACACATGTAACTTACACATGTTACTTACAGATGCTACACATGTAACTTACACAGTAGAGTTTCCTGTTCCTGACATAACTTCTCTAGTTCCTCCATGGATTCTTTAACCTTGTTAATTTCCTTCTCCATCTCCCCTACCTGGGCCTTAATGGAGTCCAGCTTTTTCTTCATTACCTCTTCTTTGTTTAAAGCCTCTAAGTATTCAGCCTTTCAAAAATTAAAAAAAAAAATACAGTAAAACTCAGTTATATAGAACTTGATTATGAGGATTCGGAAATATTGGCTTTGAGGAAGTTTTTTTCATTGTACATGTATATGCATTAAAAAGAGTACTGGTTATAAGGAAGCAAAAAAAAATTAGAGGTCCAAGTAACTCTTATAACCAAGTTTTACTGTACATGTCCTTACATACTCTTTTGTGCTTTATTTAAGGAATGCTTTTAAGTTTTGTGTGAGTTATTGGTGTGAAAATCACACAGACTTGTCACGTAGGCATATTTCAAAAGCACCCAAAATATACTTAATGTTTGAATTACTTGCTGCCCTATATCCTTACATTTTTGTTAATATCTCTGTAGCTTATTGTGATGTCACTTTAGCGCGAGTTTCTCTGTGCATATTTCTACGTATAAGTATACACAAAAATGACATTCAAATCAATTTCACAGTTGGCTTAGCAGAAAAACACAAGAAAGGTAAATATTTTATCTTATTAAATTAAAAGTTCAAACATGCCCCAGTAGAGAATGTTTACAAGGTATTTTACAAATTCTAAAACATAACAAAAATGGTAATATCTAATCTCTTCTCCCTCAAATGAATAGTCCAGTGTGAAGCTTCTGTTGTTTCTTAAGTTACAAAACTTCACAAAGATAATTCATCTAGAAAATGAACACAGCTTTTTAAGGTTTTTCTCATTTGTTTTTATATGAGTAAATCCAAATTTCAAATGTCCATAAGAGGAAGAACAATCTAATTAAAATTAAATGTTCCGAATCCGCTACCGCTTCTCGATGTTTGAGAAGCGGGAGCGGATTCGGAACATCTTATTTTAATTAGATTGGAGAAAGAAATTATTTGAACAAACTTGAATTTACCCGACACTACCTGAGGATGTACAGACAACACACAACTTAAGTTAAACATATGGACACTGGACACTCTTCGATCAGAAAAGCTCACTTGAGCCTGCTCAGGTGAGTGAATAGAAGCTCTAGAATATCTAAAATGCTATGATGTGTGGAGTACACTAACCTCACGTATCACGGTATTCAGTTCACAATACAATACATATCACAATACATGACAAGGTTAAAAAGTCTTTCAAGTTTGTCATCATATTTTTTTTTTTAACTTGACAGGGTTATACAAAATGTCGTATTTTTTAATAATAATTAAAATAACATTTTGTTAACTTTGAATTGGATTGTTAGGTAGATCTTTTGAATTGTGACAACATTCTAAACCAATGATGAACAGTTACAGGGAACTTTCCTAATAATCTCCCTTTTAAAATGGAATGAAAGGAAGACATTCATTCTTTTATTCCTTTTATTAAAGTAAAAAACCAATTGTCATATTTCTCGTGTTAATACGTTTTAGTCAACAAGACAGCGAATTTTCATCAAAATACACACGTGATGGAATATCGTGTATTACCAAAGAATACGTTTAGATCTAGTAATGGGTTTATCATTTGTCTTAACATCTATAACTTATAATCACATTAAGTCCTTCTCCGTGTTAAATCTGAGGTCTGTAAGATGCTGGAGATAAGTTTAACTGCCGTAAATGCGTTATCTGCGACCTCACTTTTGCGCGGAAGCCATTTTGAAATAGTAAAGAAGGAAATAAAATGGACAAAATGGATAATTCTGGACCGATTGAACTGAACCGCAATATCAGTTTAGCGTATCGTGAACTGAACTGTGGAAAAATATACCTCGATATACCGTCAAATGGTTTATCGTTGCACCCATAGTGTGGAGGCACTAAAGTTTTCAAGGATGAAAAAAGGAGTTGATAGTATGAGTGTGTGTACTTTTTATGGTAAATACATGGAATATGTTACCTGCTCTTTGGACATAGACTTGTCAAAAGCTTCCTTGTTCAGAAATGATTTTATGTCCAGTTTGTCCACATCATCTTTCTCTTTTGCTCTGTAGAAAACAATCAATAATTTATAATATTATACATTCATGTAAATTACTTGAATTTGATTCGTCGAGAAACATTTGTTAAAAAACACTGTTACCCTCTGAAACCACACCTTCCAGTGCGGTAGAACTTAGCAACAGTCAACATTGCTTGACGATGGGTGTAGTAAAAAAAAATAGTGACAGCATGGAATCTATTTGCATGCGCTTCACCTTTCTTTGTATTTGTATAAAACATTCAGTATAATATAATAATAATAAATATTGCATGTAGTTGAGGGTAACATTGAAAATTTTCACCCCTCGAAAACCATTGTCAACCTCGGTTGACAATGGTTTTTTTGGTATGAAAATGTTAATGTTACCTTCAACAACATGCAGTATTTATATAATGTATACCTAATGCATAACTTACTTATATGATCCTAAATTCGCTGTCAAGGAATTTTCGTTACGTCTATCTAAAATGCCATTTATTTCTTTTTCTTTCACAACTTTGATGAATAAACTTATTTAATAATTTTCTGATGCTCATATTTAATAACTAATGATGTTTTAATGATTGTCAAGCGAATAATCAAACTTGTAATGATTGTTTTTGATGCAATTCAGTGGACAATCTCTGTGACATTTTTTCATATGGTCCGAAGAAATGAAGGAATAGCAGCAGTAAATAAAATCATTCCACTTAATTTTCTTGATTCGTTTATTATATACAAATTTATTTATTAAATTTACTGGCTTTGTTAAAAAAATATTGAATATTTTTAAAATTAGACAATGGTTAAATTTTATGCTTGGGGATGTAACATTTCGTGTCAATTTTGTTACGTCTCGCGCACAGCCGCTTTCAGATACAATCGAAGGAAACTTCGATCGTTATGTTCTATTTATAGCAATTAGAGACGTCGTAAAAGATTTACGAACTATGGCTGTGTTCAAATGTGAAAGTTTTATTTCAAAAATAATCATCATAATTTTATCTATATTTTCGTGTCAAAACGTTACGTCTGTATACACGTGTCATACATCAAATACTCGGGTGACCAGAGGAAGACATCCTGTTTGTATGACATTTTCTGGTCTCTACTTTCATTTTTGGTGAGACCCGTGCACGTGTTGGATCAGTTCCAAGAAAAAGATGACAGGAGACGCGAGTAGTAGGTAGGTCATTTACATGTTACGTCTCTCATTTTTGGGGGACCTCATCTTTTTCGGCGATTTAAGGATGTATTTTGAAACATATATAATGCCAGATTTGCCTGTTTGCAAAGAAATAAGAATTAATTTTCTAATAAACTGTAAATATTGAACTATGCTTCATTAATATAAGAATTATGCTTATATATTTTCACACCATGGTTGGACTGATTGTGTCCACAGTTACATCACGCCCCCCCCCCCCCCCCCCCCCCCCCCATCAAGTATTACCTAAATCTTTTAATTCAAAAATGTTAATTTACATGTGATTAAATTTCAACTGATTCAGCTTAATTTAATTGTATCAAGTAATAACCATTATAAACTCTATTTTAGAAAATTTTAGAAAATATCTGAAAATTTATAAAAGATGTAACTTTGACAAGATTATTAAGCCACAACAGAATGTGTCATTGTTACATCACTATTTATGAATGTGCATATTTTTTTGTTGATTGGCTTCTGACAAAAATTCCTAATTGGTGTTTTAAGAAGTGCAAAACACACAATAAACTCGAGTGAAATAGTATGTATTATACATTGTTCTGTCATTCTTTAACTTCATACATGATGTAACATAGGACACCAGTTTTTGTGTCCAAGTTAAATTTGTGAAAATATCATGAGATCAGTGTTACATCACTATCAAAGTACGAGTATAGATCTTAATATCCTTGTCAAACTACCTTTTCACCATTTTTTTTCTTTTCTTTTCAGGTCATAGAATGGCCACTGATCACTTCTGTGACTCTTTAACTTGGAAAAGATCAAGATTGATCTCTTGACAGAAGATAAAATGACATTTGTGTAGAAAGGGGCATATACAATACAATGTATATTATTTTTAAAATAAAACTGAAAATTTGTTCAATTGTTTACTTATTTATTAAGTTAAAATTTTCTTAAAGTTTCCTGTGATCTGATTCAAAGTAAAAACTTAACAATTAAGTAAATTAAAAAAAAAAAGTTTGTTGGAAGGCTTCAGTGTCCAGTGTTACATCTCTATATGTTGAAATGAGGCATATAATTTTCTTCCTTTGCCATATGATTATGCAAACTTGGCCAAAAAATGCCCAAATGTAAGTGCAAATCCTTTAATAAAAAATTTGTTCAATTAATTTTAATTTTGGAGGAAATTTTCTTTTCTGTGTGCTGAAGTTTGTGTCCTGTTACGTCTGAAACAGAAGGTGATCTTTTTATGTATTAGTCTTTAGATTTGAGTGTAAATGAGAACAATGGACAGAAATTTTGTTTATAAAGGGGCAAAAATGAGTGTCACAAGTAAGATATAATTCAGTTGTAATTAATTAATTTGAATTAAACTTGAAGTGTCTCCGTTACATCACTCAATATTAATGAATTAAATTTTAATTGTATTTTAATTGTTTCAAGTGCAACTATCTCGGCCTTCCTAGGTGACTTGGTCCTGATACCAATCTTCAATTTGCAACAATTTTTAGAGTGATATCTTAAGTCTGAAATACATGTATTGGACACAAAGCTTTGAGTGATGTAACAAAAATTCCTTGACAGTGAATTTAAGATCATATCTAATTTCTTACCCTGGCACATGTATAACAAACATTTTAATTAAATCATAATTAGTGGCACTGTAAGCAAAGAGCTCACAAAATGATACTCCCAGCTGTCATATGAGGATAATGGCAAAATCTGTTTTGCTGTAAGAAAGCCCAAAACTGTGTTAGGGGTTGAAATATATGGTAGCCCGACGCCCGGGGCTATAGTCATTTTAAGACTAGGGCTAGCTAATTCAAATCTAACTATAGTGTTAGTTTACTGTAGCTTTTTCTGTGTAGACTGGTTTCTTTTGACTGAGAACTAATTTAATTTGTTCCTGTCACCAAAGCGTTTGACACTTTATGTTTTCATTTAGGAATGCATGAAAATTTTTGGGCTAGTTAAAGTTTGAGATTTGGGCTAGTAAATTTTTACTGATCAGAAGCCCATGAGCTAGTGTTTTTTCCAGAAAAATTTCAACCCCTGTGTGTCTGATTAAACATTAAATGGGAGGTGCATAATGGCACTATGTAATATTCTGGGAAAGTCTCCTTAAATTTTATTCAGTGGACAGGTATAGAAGGAGTTGCAGATAAGAGATGGGTACCCCCATTATTATAGAAAGAATGGTGGCGTCCATGTTTCCTATGGGATACATACCCTAAATATGTGTTTCGTCAATTTGTAATTAATATATAGGAGGTCAAATGGCACTATGTAATAAATATTCCACAAAAGTTTCATTAAATTTTATTTACTGGCACAGGAGAAATTGCAGATAAGAAATGGATATCCCGAAGTGAAATAAATGGATGGATGGATAGACAGATGTACGGATGGACAAAAACCTCCATCAATATATTCCCCTGCTTTTCAAGCTATGGTATAATAATTTAATTCTAGTTATAATGCGGTATTTGATTGGATAAAAAATTTACTTTATATTGTATAAATTGGGTTGCCTACGTCACAATGACTTGCATCAAAAACGTATCGATCCGCCTGACATTACATTTGAATTTTGTACAATTTGAAGTCATTTCTTAAGGGCAATCATCTTTTTTCTTAAACTAAATGAATGAAAATTAAATTAAAAGGAATGAATTTAATAGCTACATGTACCCAATTAATACTGTATAAAGTGGGTTGGAACAGTTTACGCTTTTTTATAAACCGCTTCGTGGTTTATAAAGCATAAACTGCCCCAACCCACTTCATACTGTATAAAATGGGTAGCTATTAAATTCATTCCTTAAATAAATACAATATTTCTCAACTATACATGAACAAATGCAAAAAAAACTTCAGCACTTATAAAACCATAACCTAGATGGGGAGGACAAATGTTTTTTAAGGAATAACTGTCTACTAGTTTTTGGTTTTATGAGGTGATCAAGCGATTGGCTTGCATGATAATTTGCATAAACACTGAAGTCATTATCACACAAGCCAATCGCTTGATAATGATCAGATAATCATCATAAAACCAAAAAAAAATGACAGTTATTCCTTATATTTACATAATTCTGTAAATTTGCATGCTCTATCCTAGCTTCTCCCTTTTCTCTTTCTCTCACTCTTGCTCAGCACTTGATTTTTTTTTTTAACTCCGTCTATCGATGAACCAAAAGCTTTATGAAGAAATCAAGGTTTTTTTTTATTATTTGTAGTTTTATTTTGGACAAAGAAACTTTTAACAAAAATATAAAGGAATAAGTTTATTTAGACAACACAAACATTGAACACCATACATGCACAATGTCAGAAGCAGAAACAGGGCTTGCTATCAGTTGCATCCAGGTCCGGTAAAAGGACCCTGTCCCAACCAAAAATTGACTTTTTTCCCCAATTTAAGGTAAAACTTCCCAAATGACAAGTAAATTGAATTTTTCTGTGACTTTTATATAAAAATAACTTGAATTTTAAAATTATAATAAATCAATAAGATATAAATAGGGAATTAATCTGCAATCTATCTACATAATTATATTTTAACAACAGTCAAACATAAGTCATCAATATTTCCAAATTGTCACTTTTGGCCCATTAATTATGAAATAGTACAGGACTCTGTACCAAAAAGGGTCAATTAAGCCCTGGAAAATTAGGACCCACTCTAATCTTAAATAGTAATAGCTGCTCAATCAATTTACCTATACAAGTAAATGTGGATTAATACATGCATAATTTATTCAAAGTAATATCCTATAAATAATCACTATTTAAGGAATGTTTTGAAGTTTTGTGTGAGTTACTGGTGTGTAAATCACACAGACTTGTCACGTAGGCATATTTCATGAAGCGCGCCTAGTGCTTCATGAAAAATACGCCTACGTGCAAGTCTGTGTGATAATTCACACTAAACTTAAAAACATTCCTTATATTTACATTTTACAAATTAAAAAGGACCAATAATATACTCAATATTTGAATTATTTGCTGCCCTATATCGTTACATTTTTATTAACATCTCTGTAGCCTCATTGTGACGTCACTTTAGCGCGAGTTTCACCGTGTATATTTCTATGCGTGAGTATACACAAAAATGACTTTCAAATCAATTGCACAGTTGGCTTAGTAGAAAAACACAGCTAATCTAAATATTTAAATGTGAAACTAATAAATGTAATTACTGTAAATTACCAAACTTTTGTGACACCTTATTTTCACGTGATATATATTTGGCATTTATAAGCGAGACAAAATTTTCACTAATTCAATGCTCTATACTTGACTTTTGAAAATATATGTGAGAATATAATTTCGCAAGCAGACTGTCTCATGTAATTATGCAAAAATAATTTAAAGTTCTCGTGAATAAAAAGTGAGTCACAGTTTAAGTTGTGAATTGCAAATTTCTGATGTTCAATGCTGTGAAGACAAGTTTTCATTGCCTGCTAGCATGCATTATTCAATTTATAAGCACACACAGCAATCTCAGTCATGACACAATGAATGTCAAAATTTACAATTCCATGCTCAATATCACATTTTACTGTTTACAAGCAAGATACTGATGGGGGTGTTGTCTTTATGAAACTTTTTTTTTTTTAGAAAGAAGTTCAGACATATGATTGATTGTAAGAAGATTAACTTCTTTGCAAGAGTTTTTCATGCATACTAAGAGTAAGATGTCAACAGTTACCATGGTTACAGAATCCAAACACTTACGTCTGCTTTTTACATTGCTCGTAGAGTGATTCTAGGTTTTTGACAGTGGCCAGCATCTCATCGTAACGTTTCTTGATGCTGTTGTACGTCTTACGGATATTTTTGTTTTCCAGCAAGCGGATTTGGTTGTCAAGGGCAACATATTTGTTGAGGGTTTCCATGGTTACCTCCTAGGAATGAGGTAAAAAAAATATAAATTAAGAGCCTTATGAACCTTCAAATTTTTTTTTTTCAAGATAATACTGGGTAATTAGAAGCTATAATGATAAATTTTCTCTTTTTCTTTCCTCTGACATTATTTTTGAGGCACTGGTGGAAGCCTAAATTAAGGAGAATGCTAAATAAACTCCTTTAAATAAAATACCTTTTTTATCCTTTTGCTATGTCTAGCGTCTAAAAAAATTTATGATTGAAAATCTTCAAACCTTTTGCAACAGAAGTTAGACTGTATTTGTTCTTACAAGACAATTTCAAGTTTTAAATTTGTCATTAGATGACTGAAATAGAATCACTGCCACCTTTTCAAACACTCAACACTTAAAAATTTAAAAAATATAATTATAAAGGATCTCCAAGAATATTTCATAACATTTTATAATCATCAAATTTCATTAATATTTCATTTCTCTGTAAATTCTTTGGTGAATTTTTTAGGAAAGAATTTATTGTATAGCTACTCTTTTTACAGCTAGTACGTGCTTTGGGTGAATTTTCATAAATGATTGTATACTGTGTTATGCATGCATGCAATATTACATTGAAAGGATTTTGAAATATTCACAGCCGGATACCAACACCTTAATGACTGAATTAAGTCTTGAAGGGACAAATTTCTTGTGTGATCAGGGCATACAATCTTATATATAACATGTATATATATAAGGCAGAATTTACAGCGAGAAATGAACACACAATACTGATATCTATATCTAGGTTATTTGTGAAATATTGTTTAAAGTTGAAAGAAAGGCATGGAATTAATCAAAATATATACTCTACTTACCCCAGACATTTTGGTGTGTTTTTAACAGCAGGCCCACTGACCTAAAGAAAAAAAGAATTTAAAGATTATACAGATAAATTAGAACGTTTATATTCGAAGGGGTACAAAAAGAGGAAGTAATTATTATTGTGAATTCAATAACTGTAACAATCAATCAATCACAGAGTTATTTGAGTTAATGGAATTGAAATTCATTGATTGTTCACAGTGTTTATATAACATAAATAATTAAGCCTAAAATATGATCGTATTTAACGCTTCTACAGATAAATAGCTGGAAGATATACATTACATGTATATGCTTTAAAGCTATAAATATAAATAGCTCAAGATAGCTTAGGATGGGATACAATCAACGATAAACACAAGCACTTGCATCCATGCATCCCTCCCCCTCCCCAACTTTGCGTTATTTTTTCATACCAAATTTCCTACAATGCTCTTTTAGCCTCTCACGTTCACTTCCCTTTTTAAAAACCTCGCATACAAGGTATGTATTCAATCAAGATGAACTTTAGATATCCCAAACCTTACCTACTACGCTGCACTGAAGCGGTTTATTTACTTCTCGCTACTTGCGAAATTAGGGGGAAGTGACGTCATTTCCATAGCAATTACTACAACACTACAAAGTCGGTTATTAGGCAATATGCGATTTCTGCATTTCCTTAGTGTTTTGTCAAGGAATACATTTTTTTCTGATCAAAATGGTTGCTTTCAACTGAAGATCACAATTACACTAACCCCCCCTTTTTTTACACAAATGTTCTTACCAAAAGAAAAAAAAGAGGGGGGGGGGGGCTTAATTCTCTAGGACAAAGATAGTCCTTAGAACCAGACAGGTGGGGCAGCCGGAAAAATCTTTTTACAACTTACCTGAAAGTCTAACTTGACAAGCCAAAAAAAGTAATTAGGATAAACTTCCCCAAGTCAAAATCCTTATTTCGGGGGGGGGGGGGGGGTTACTTCAAACTACTTTTTTAACCCCCTAAAACTTTCTTAACCTTAATACACTATAAAAAAGGGGGATTGAAATAAACATTTCCATGTATAGTAAAAAATAATTCATTTTTATAAAAAAGAGGGGGAGCTGGTCCCTAGCTCTGCCCCCTCCCTCTATGCTATCCGGCCCCGGGCCTATACATGCCTGGTACACTCGTATCCATGGGATCTCTGATCTTGCGAGGATGTATGCATGTCAACACATCTCTAAATTTTTCTCCAAGATTACAAAAATAAGCAAAAGATTGATCAAGCTACATGTATCAGCTAGTGGCATGCATGTACCCTAGACAATTTTAAATAATGTCGCGGTGGATGCTTTTCTGACTCTAGGGGTCTTGATATGCCTGTAGCATTACAACCCATCAGAATAAGTAATGCATGCTATTTATTTTCCTTCTTTTTATTGAACTCTCGTTTCTTAATTTCAAGCTGAAGTTAAAAATGATTACATGACAAAGTCTTTCAAATTTCTAATTTTTTGTAGAGGACAGAACTGCTGACAGTGTGACCAACGACACCAATTCACCATGCGCCTCATTGCAAGGGCGGATCCAGCAATTTTTCAAGGGATGGGGGCGTCCAGAGTGGTGACAACCACCCCACTCCCTCCAACATGCAAGCACATACAAAGAAAAATCCTTGTAGGATTTCTGGTTTTATTGACTTGATGTAATTTTATAAAATGTTTTATTAACTTAAACTCAGTAAAGACTGGTGTACTTGGTCTAATTTCCGACAAAGATATGTACAATGTATAGATAATAAATGTTTTACGTCCACCATAAAACCAACAACCTATCGTTTCTATCCAGGAAAACACACAAATCAAAAGGGGGAAAAACATTTAACAAGAATAATTGTAGAATTTCTCATCATCATTTGAGATTTTTTTCTCAGATTGTATGAACAGATGAAAGTAACGCTACTACATGTAGTTTATTATAACAACTACACACCTTTAAAAAGAAAATGAGATGCCGATTCCAATTAAAAGAGTGAATTGCGTTGCAAATATTTGTAGTTGATTTTTAGGGTAATTTAGTGTAAAACTTGGAATAGCCTATCTTAATTATCAGATTCACCAGGGACTGTTAGTATATAGGTCCCTGGATTCACATACTCAAGATTACACATATATTATATAAAAAAAGCTTATTCATACATATATATTTGATTACAATTCAACATCTGTGACCCTTTTCACAAAACATCTTACGACTAAGATAAAATTTTGACAACTCCATAATTTTTTGTTTAATAAATATATTGAATTTTTTCTTAAATATTTTTACAATGTAAGCTGGTGTAATAAAAATATAAGACTTTTTTCTGTCCTACTACAGCTTAGATTATTTTTGCAGAAGGGAAATTTTTTATCTTAGTCGTAAGATTTTTTGTGAAAAGGGTCACTGCTTTCTTAAAGTGATCGATAAAATTTTTAGGTACCTCTTCATTTTCATCAGGCTGTGAGTCGTTGCCGACCTTACGCTTTGAATTTCTCGCCGGAGAGCTAGAAGATATCGAATGGCAGAACATGAAAATATAAATTATACGCATATTACACAATTTTATAGTAGGAAATTTCTTCATATACAGACATTAAACACTCATTATAAATATACTTTACATGAATTTGACCAAAAGAAAAAGGTCAGAGTTTTCCCCCTTTAATGCATTCGAAGGTGTTTTGTATTTTCCCGCCAATAACTCAATTACAATAAACTTCCGGTTGCTGATGCTATGCTCTTCTTCATGATGGCGATTTTTTACTCGATAAATAGAAACAAATATAAAATGTAAACATATGGAGGAAGCGGGGCTTGTAGAATTTATCTGCAGCGCTGGGAGCTAAAATCAATTTCTAGAATCAATATTCTCTCGTTTTCCGATGTAAATTTAGAGTGATCTCCCTTGGATTGCTAATTATCATAATCAATACCGTGTTGGTTGCATTGCATGCTGTTCGCCTGTTTATCATAAGTATCTTTCAAAATGGCGTACGGATAGAATATTCCTGTGCAAGGATTGTGTTCCAGGAAGTTCCTATCCCCGTCGTGTATATTTACAGTTTTATTTTGTTATAAAGACACTTCTTTCCACGGTTTATATATACATATTTCTTCATCATGGATTCAGGACGGCCCTAGGTAATGTATACAGACAAACAGTAATGAAACAGCACATAGTAATTTGTGTACAAGTTTAGCTTTTAAAAAAAGCTTAGAGAGTCAGCCAGTGGATTTTTCTTTTTCCATGATAATGTTTAAAAGAAACCGAAATTTCGTTTAAGAAAAAAATGATTTCAGATTATCTTTAGCCGATTTGGCCAGTTGATCCTTACCTCTTGATAGTTTTCAGCATGGGAGTTCGGGTTAAAATGCAGGTTCTCGCATTATTTTGTGAATTAAATACAAAAATGAAAAGTTTAATCATTTATGTTCAAATTCACATAGCATAATTCCATTAAAAGTGAGTAGCCGCTCACATCAGAATGATCTAAGATTTTATGACAGAAACGGGGGGTGGGGGGGGGGGGTGTTCGCCACAAAAACGTTTAGGCAACTTTCAAAACCCCATTTACACTACTTCTGCTTTAATACGTTACATTCTGAGCCAGTTTTACAATTAATTTTCTAAATAATTCTTTTTTGACAAATTCGTTGATTTTAAGACTTTCATGAGTCTGAATCCCCAGGACCACCACCCCTCTGGATCCGCCCTCTAATCTTGTCAAAGACGTTTACTCAAACTTTATTATTACATTATTATTTAAGGAAAAAGAGCATTGAAGTATTCCAGAAGGAGCTTTGCAAACTTCACTAACAGGTGTTAGTGAAACTTACAAAGTGCTCTCTGGTAGAGAATGTCTCCGTCAACTACCAAGACAAAGGGGCGACACCTTTGTCCTTAACAGTCATACTTAACCCCCTAATTAAGATTATAAATAAATGACAATTGCAAAATAATCTTGTAACTTTTAGGATACAAAAAATAAATATTTACTGAACAAATTCAAAACAGGTATCATGCATATAACATCGAAAACATATAAGCTTCGTACGTTAGAGCCTGTACATTGCGTTTTTTTTTTTTTTTTTGTTTTCATATTTTAGTTTATCAACTTTTCTTTTTTTACCTTACTAAATTTAATACTTTACTTGACATTCAAAATAATGTAGAATTAAAAAAATGAAATAAATAAAAACACTTTTACAAATTTATTTAATACCAATCTTCTCATGATTATACGTAACTATATAAATACAGCCAACCTGAATTTCCACAGCCTTAAAGTCTAATTTAATGATAAACAGACGAGTAAATAAGGATTCCAATATAAACAAGAGGCCCATGGGCCACAACGCTCACCTAAATAACTTAAGCCCTGCTGTTCTTCAACAGATTTTCCTCCTTGTAATACCTATTGTTGCCCCACCCTATCCCAGGGGTCATGATATGAACAATGAAGAATTTACACTACCCCAGGATGCTTCCACATAATTTTCAGCTTTTCTAGTCCAGTGGTTCTTGAAAAGAAGTTTTTAAAAGACTTTTCCTATATATTTCAATGTAAAACTTTGATTTTCTATTGTAATCCCACCCAACCCCCGGGGATCATGATTTGAACAGTTTATTTTCTACACTATACCTGGATGCTTCCACATAACTGTATGCTTCTACACTACCCAAGGATTCGTCTACGTATAAGTTTCAGCTTTTCTGGCCCAGAGGTTCTTGAGAAAAAGATATTAAAGATTTTATCTATATATTTCAATGTTAAACTTGGATTTCCTATTGTGGCCCCACCCGACCCCCGGGGGTCATGATTTGAACAATTTAGATTTTATACTTCCACAGGGTGCTTCCGCATAAGTTTCAGCTTTTCTGGCCCAGAGGTTCTTTAGAAGAAGATTTTTGAAGATGTTTTCTATATTCCCTACCGTGGCCCTAACCTACCCCTGGGAATCATGATTTTAATAATTTAATTTCTACACTACCTCAGAATGCTTCCATATAAGTTTCAGCTTTTCTGGCACAGTGGTTCTTGAGAAGAAGATTTTTAAAGATGTTTTCTATATATTTCAATGTAAAATTTGGATTCCCTATTGTGGTCCAACCCGACCCCCGGGGTCATGATTTGAACAATTTAGATTCTACACTATTCCTGAATGCTTCCACGTAAAAGTTTCAGCTTTTCTGACCCAGTGGTTCTTAAGAAGATTTTTTTAATGACCTCACCCTATTTTTGTCTTTTCTTGATTATCTCCCCTTGTAAGGGGATTGGTCTTTCACTTTAATAATTTACACTCCCCTTCAGCCAAGAAAGCTTTGTATCAACTTTGGTTAAAATAAGCGCAGTGATTCTTGAGAAGGAGTTGAAACTGTGAAAAACTTACAGACGGAGGACAGCTAGACAGACGGACGGACGACGGACAACGGGTGATCAGAAAAGCTCACTTGAGCTTTCAGCTCAGGTGAGCTAAAAAGAATGTAACAGGCGAAGCCAGCTGTGTCTCTCCCGATTTATCCATTGCATGCCTTTACAAATCATTTTGACCAATTCGATAATTAACATCGGAATCGAAATGCTTTAAATGAAAACGAAAGTAAAACCAATAAAATCCGAAAATCTTCAAAATCTGAAATAATCCAATATTTATGCCGCAGAATTGAATACACATGTAAAATACATGTAAGATACTTTTCAAAAGAGTTTAAACTGACGTGCTAAACACTGAGTAAAATGAATATCCAATTTTATGCTTCGCTGCGTAGACGTTTTATGAATAGATGCGAACCAGTTTAATTATTGCGAACCAGATTATAAAACAACTACAAAACCTCAATATAGGAAGTTTTTCCAAAGAAATCAGCACCAAACGTCTTACTGTTTTTAACCTGTATTTACATTTTATTGGTATATGGTGTTAAAATAAGGATTTCGTTGTTTAAACCATACTGACTTTACTGAAACGAAATCAACAGGAGTGGCTTACTATACGTCATTCACCCAGAATAGATTAACCAATGTCAGGGTACCAGTCTACATCCCAGAATTCCAGAACACGCAAGCGCATTTGAAGTTCTTCGTAAGATAACTAGTCAGCCCGGGGGCTGACTAATTATGTTGAGTAGCGTAGAAATAACGCTGGATTTGGTAAGTATGTTATACAGTGTGTAAAGTTTCAGCAGTAGAGATTGTATATATTTACATGTACATCATGTACACAGGGGTGCCCCTAAAAAATTGAAATAGCAGGGGGCTTTTAAAAAAATGGGGTTGAGGGGGGATACCAGAATAACCGGGGTTTTATGTCATTATAGGCAGGGAAATTCCCCAGCCCCCGGGTCTTGGGGACAACCCTGCATGAGTACATATCCATTAAACACTGACTGCTGCTTTGGTTTGATATCAGATGTACTTCTTGGGTGTTGCAGATGTTCAAACTGAAACTTGCATGGCAGGCAGGAAAACAAAATAAATTATTTACATGTGTTTTGGTTTAGCTGTAAGTGAGGGATGTATTATTTATTTGTATCTGTACATAATTCACCATGTACACATACATCAATGCTTGAATGGAGAATTATCTGAAAGTACAAATATACATTGTGAGAATTGAAATTGAAAGGAGGAGAGGGGGGTTGGGGGGTTGCTTCCTACAGTTGTATATATTAACTGCTAAGGGCTTCATTAAAATCCATATGTTTCTACCCTAACTTCTACTGAGTCAGTCACACATGGTGTGAAGCAATACTTCTATATTAGAAGTCTTCATTTGTTTGTTATTATTTAAATAAAAAAAAATTATGACTATTTTTAATTGTATTGACAACAATCATAGATAACTCTGAGATCCATGTCAACAGGTCAAGGTCACAAGGTCATTAAAATTACTCTGTACATGAAACGCGAAATTTTTTTAAATAGTATTCATGAAGTAATACATAACTATGTGTTACTGAAAGTAAAAACATTGTACACAGAGATGGTAAATAACCTTAGCATATACAGGTACATACTTTTTTTAATATCATCTTCAATATCATTAGGTAAGTGCCAGTTGGGAAATGGGAAAATAACACCATAGACGAATTTCACATTGGTAAGAGTTATCTCCCGTTGTCGGCATAACGCTCATTTTTCTCACTATAACCTTCGTAATTTACCTGTAAATATTTTCAACCTTTAATCGCAATTGGACAATTTTGATCCATTCCTATATTGCCATATAGTATGGGGCAACATAAAAAACAACAAACATATGCATACAGATTTCATTTGTAAGACATTGCCCCATGAAGTTAGTAATGGTTTAGAGGGAAAACAGTATAGGCCTGAGTATCACAAGCTACCTAATGATGCAATACATATCACAATGCGGTCATGCGATACAACATGTAGCTGTCAACAATTGAATTAACCATTATCTTAACATATTATTCTTTGCTCACCTCCACAGTTATAGAAAATATAAAAAGAATATCTTAATTGATACCCCCAACCAAAGTTAATAAAAGGTGGATTTATAGTCTTGACATTGTATTTTTTCTTTGTTACCTTTTTTTCAGCTATTTTAAAACATTAAAATTTGTTAGGTTGTATTTGGAAGATTCAAACAAAACAATGAAAATTATCTTGTACCGTATCACGATACATACATGGCGATATGATAGGCGTATCGTGAGCCCTTGCGATCAATACGATCGATGTATTGCTGTATCATTACACCTCTAAGAAACAGAGTCTTATGCCGGTTGACCCCAGATTGACCCCGCAAAGGGAAATAACTTTTGTAAATGTGAAAGTCGTCTATTTAGTTAGGAAGAAACCAGGTCACAGCCCCCTCTATTAGTTTAATGTCAGTTGCTGCCTAAAATGGAAGCTGCACATCTAGGGCCTCAATTGAATTACATTTAACCAGGGCTAGAAATAATTCTTTTTTTCACTAGTCACTCGGGCTATCACCTTAAATTTTTACTGCTCAACTGTACATCCCACTGGGCCAGTTGATTTTAAAAAGACTGGCCCAAAAGCATAATTAATAATGATAATATTTTGTTTATATTTTGATACTTTATAGTACTATATAACAAAACAAAAAAATGTCAGAACTTCAACACACAACCCTATCAATTAAGTTAACTATAGCCCTTAGTACATGAATGAGTTTCAACCGCGTTGGTGACAGAAACAAATTGAACTAATTCTCAGTCAAAAGAAACCAGTCTAAATAGATAAGTGAAAGTAAACTGACAGAATTTTTTTTTCCGTTCTGCTAGTCCAACGGACTATCGATACATTTAGATAAGCTAGCCCATTAGCAAGTCTTAAAATGACTAGCCCCCGGGCGTCGGGCTACTGTATTTTCAACCCCTGGGAATGAAGCCATTCAGTAACCCAATGCAATATTATAGACAATCAAGAGCCCTGGAATTATAATAATTTTCAACAGTCATTATTTGCAAGTAATAAAAAATGAAAAATGAAAAATAAACAAAATGGAAAGGGGTGTGTTTGTTTGGAATTAATGAAGGAAGAATCAAATGGAAAGGTTTGTGTTCATTTGGAATTGATATGATTTGTTTCACTCAGTGTTCATGTATGTTTGTAAGTAAATTATATTATATTTATATATTTTCTTTGTAGGTGTCACAATGACACGGTCCAGTTACCCGACGGCTGACCCAGGGAATGGACATTAATGAAAACACAAGACAAAGAAACAGTGTCACGGATAAACAGGTAATTACACTGGGAATATATTCTACAGACTTTGGTAAATTCTAGCCATGTAGACAAAGGGAGAGGGATTTTTCCTTCTCTTGTATAGCTCTAAGACTCCCATTCAATTACCAATATAGCCAATCTGAAGTGGCATTTTGCCAGTGATGTGTTTCTATTTAGGGGCAAAAAATCTTCAAACAAAGACAATAAAATTCCAATATTTGGTTTTGTCCAAAATTCTCGATTAGGAAAAGGCAATGTCATTTATGAAAGCTGGTGTTATGAAATAATTAGGCTTCTCTTTCTATAATATTCTATGTAACCCATTTTACTTGTGGAAGACTGGACAAAAAAATCAATAGCAATTGTGAGAGACTGACAAAACAAAAGAGAAGTATTGAATTTGGAGATTTCAAAGTGGAGATTGTGCTGGCCTATAAAATTATTTCTATTCATTGACTCCAGTGAAAAATTGATTTACTGTGCAATTTTTTTGCTCACTAAATCATCAATTATTTACAATTATCTGAGGGTCATAAGATTTTTGATGGCAGTTTGATATGAAGAATGGCGCTTAGCTCTTTGGTATTGTAGCATGCTAGGAGTTCTGTAATAAATGAAAATTAAAGGACAAAAACTGAAGCATGATGACACTGGTCTAGACTAAAAATATAATATGGAGAAGCCGGATAATCTGTGATATCAAAGTTTAAGACACAAAATCATGATAATATTAATAATGTTTACCTAAATTACATTCAATGTACAGTAATTTTCTTTATGAAATCCATTGGAAATCTACAACATTCAATTAAGCATGTTAAGAAATGAATTTAATTTTTGAAGATTCATGAGGACATGAACTTCTACGCTTCGATCACGATGGCATATTTCATAAATATGCCGGCAAGAAGCATTGTAGTTCATGTACCTCATGAATTTTCAAAAATTAAATTCATTTCTTATATTTACATTATTTTTCTGATGAGTCACCATAAATTACGCTATTCAACTATCATTTTTTTTTAAGCAAAACAGTTTGCACTATAGTTTTGACGTTGAGTGCGGTATTATGACGTAACAATGGAGATATTCATGCTCATCCATGGTAGTTGATGAGAAAATGAACAGTAATCTAATTTGCAAAGAATCTTAAGGAAAAATATTTGGAAATGTAAATATTACCCTATAAACAGACACGGAACCTTGTCACTGTGTGACAGAATTAAGGAACTTTATGCATTTTTAATACCCTAGGAACAACAAAATGTATATTGTTTTGGCTCAATTTAATTAAAAACAATTGCCCTATTATTATAAATTTATTACAATTGTATGTTTAAAATTAAATAATTTGTTATTTTTTTCCATCACAATATTCATTTGCGTTATTTAACTTTTCACGTCGCAATGGCTTTTATGTCTATTAAGCATCCAAGTTCTGATTTAGGCACTAAATTCATGATAAAGATTAACAAAATTAACAATTATGACGAGAGAAAATTACAGGATGTAAATATAACCATTGAATTCTTATTTTTCGATGTCGTTGGTGGAGTATTGTAACAGGACTTGTCCTTGCTGACAAATTATCATACTGCGCTAACACGCAGTATTCAATTTGTAGGCTCAGCCAGGTGCTGTATAGGACCAGTGACATCCAAAAATAAAAATTCAATGCATGAGTGTACATTTCTGTTAGTTCTGTATTTTAGAAGCATCTGCATGCCTTTAGGAACATATTTTTATATATAAAAAATTGTATGTAACTGTAGTCAGTGTAATAAATTGTATGTAACTGTAGTCAGTGTAATAAATCCATGCCTATGAATCTTAATTCCATTAACACCCCAATGGCCTATACCACTCTAATACCCCCACCCCCCTTAAAAAATGATGAGGACTGTTTGTTATACATAATTTTAATATTTATTTGGTATTTTACACATTGCTTTCAGTTGATGTTAAGTTGGTGATATATTAAGGAACTAGTGAGGGAACCTGATGTCAATGTCCTGTACATTGTAGGAAACTCAATCCTTTGTCCATTGGAAAAAAAAAGTTAAGTCAATGGTCATGATGGAATAATTCTGTATTTATTGATTGTTATAGAAGAGAATAATTATTCTCTCCAGTTGTCACCTAGTGAAAGCTCATTAAAGGGTCTTTATGAGAAGCCTATGAGTGTACCATATTACTATATTGACCCGCGGTGGTGCAGCCGAGTTGACATGTGACGTGACCTGATCATGGTCAAATGAAATCGTAATTGGAGACCTCTGAATCAGAAATGAGTCACTATTGGTTGTAGTTGGTGTGAGTTTCATACTTAACATGGATTGTTAAAGAGTGAACTTAGTTAATAGTATGTTTACAGCAAGCAGGGTCCATTCAAAATTTAGTGCACATATATCTGATGGTCAAATCAGTGAACTTGATCATGACTTAGAGTTCTCTATCGTGTCTATGCATGTTTACATAGGGCTGGCAGAAGCAATGCATAGGGTGATGTACATAATTATACAGAATGAATACTAACCTCACATATTTGATTAGTGATTTTTTTTTTTTATTTTCTTAATGATACAAGCAAAGCTTAGCTTTTTGGATGGTATTTACTATTCAATCAATGATGAAGATATAGGTATGATTAATGCATACTCCAGCCTCAAAGTGCTAAAGAATATTTACCTGTTAATTTGCAAATTATAAAGATAACATTTCTGAACAGATATGTCAGCATTCTTTGAGTAATATCAGCTATAGAAGAACCCATTATACTTGATGATTTATATAAAAGATATCTACAAACCCCCTGTTGTGATGGAGGAATGTTACAGAATAATTTTCTGATCACATTCTTCTGAATCACTGAAATTCTTTATTTCGATCCAAGTCAATTTTTTTTCTTTTCTTTTCTTTTCTTTTCTTTTTTTTTTTTTTTTTGATATTTGGGTGTTTGTGTGTGAGTGTGGGTGGGGGGTGGGGTGGGAATTGCCTCTTTCATTACCGTGTCATAATTATTACTCACTGTTTACTATTATGGAAATTTCATATTTATCCTCACCTTGATTTCAAAATACTGATTACGGATTGAAATAATGCTTCTGGGCTATGCTCTTAATTCTAATTTTTCATTTGTCATATTAATACTTAATCAATGGGATCCACTTAATGGCCTTGAAAACACTGATTTATATTCCGACTGTCAGATGATTTTTGTAATGATACATGCTGTCTACAGATAATAACAGTGTCTGAAACTCCCCGTAAAACTAGCTAGACATGCAGTGCTGACTACACAGATAATAACAATGTCTGAAACTCACCCTAAAACTAGCTAGACATGCAGTGCTGACTACACAGATAATAACAGTGTCTGAAACTCACCGTAAAACTAGCTAGACATGCAGTGCTGACTACACAGATAATAACAGTGTCTGAAACTCCCCGTAAAACTAGCTAGACATGCAGTGCTGACTACACAGATAATAACAGTGTCTGAAACTCCCCGTAAAACTAGCTAGACATGCAGTGCTGACTACACAGATAATAACAGTGTCTGAAACTCACCGTAAAACTAGCTAGACATGCAGAGCTGACTACACAGATAATAACAGTGTCTGAAACTCCCCGTAAAACTAGCTAGACATGCAGAGCTGACTGCTAGTGGAAGTTGTCAGTCCTGCCAAAAATCTACTAACCCGAGAAAATAATTGTCTTTTATAACTTTGTTTCTAGTGATATTGATACGAATTGGGCCAGATCACCGTAACTTCGATCCTGTTTCTATAGGATGTCAAATTCTACCCCTTTGCTTCTTACACTTTACAACCCCATACCATTGGTTGACTTGAGAGAGATTCATCAAATATATGAATTTTAATTTATGGGAAATTGGCACGGTTATTTCAAACACAGATAATAATGTAACATTCAAAAATTAGCCAAGGTATTGACCACAGTAGATTACAGATGAAAAGCTAAAATAGCAGAAAACTGCATGATGGGGTAAACACCTCTGTCTTTGGCATGAGTTACTGTTGTATTTACATAACTGCAACCTCTTCAAAATTTATCTTCCAAAATGCTCTCCAAATAACAAGCTTGTATTGATTTTCTCTTTCACGCCAGTAGTGTATCCACTAGGAGACTCTATAGCCATTTTTAAGACAGTTTATGAATATTCATGTTGTCTGTTATTTATACCTTCATAATTGCCACCAGGGAGTGTTGATGGAAGCTTTCTTGTACATGTAATTTACATGTAAATACTTTTGCACAAGGACAAAAGTTGGTCAATTAAAGGCTCTAAAGAGTGGTTTGTGCTAGCATTTTTGTCATTTTGCTATTTATTCATGTATTTTAATTATATCTTCTTCATATGTATATATGTAATTATGGTCTATATTGGGCAAACATCTGAACTTCAGTTTTTCAAATGCTGATATGTTGAATAATTTGGAATTTGTTTCAGCGAGTCTGCCGTCCCATTCATTTCAATTACAGTTGCACTTCAGTATCTCAAACACTGATATCTTGAATACCATGGATATGTCGGAACTGATCTGGAAGTCGCAACCACTTATTCTTAAGCATTTTACCCTTGATACATGTATCTTGAATGCTTGGATACCTTGAAGTTTTTCAATCGGACCAATCAAATTGGAGATAATGAGGATTGACTGTAAATGTTTAGATGACATGTTTTCTCTTTGGTTTTAGTGACTCCGGCCACCATGCATGCACACTTATTGTTTGAGAAACAGAGATTTTTCTGTATATTATTATTTAGGTGTTCATGAAAATTGATATGGTGTTAAAATGTTTAGTTGATCATAATAAATATTAAACATGTTAAATAGCTTCTAATTGGGAAAAAAAATAATTTAAAAAAATTAAAAAAAAAATAAAAGTTTACCATCATACTTAGTCATGACAATGGTCAAAAGAGTGAAATTTGAAGATCAAAGTCATCAAAACTTTATATAGATGTCAAAGATCAAAACATTAATTTT